AAAAAGTCCCCTTATATAGTTTCTCACTTAATCCAGGCTCTACATGCATACTTTCATGTTTCTATTTTCAATATTATAGAAAATTCATAAAGTACCTTTTGAAGAACGAAAAAGTACCTTTTATAGATTCTCATTTACTCCGGGCTCTACATGCTTAATTTCATGTTTCTAGGTTAAATTTTATAGAAAACTCAAAAAGTATCAATCGAAAGACGAAAAAGTACCAAAAAGTCCCCTTTTATAGATTCGCATTTACTAAGGGCTCTACATGCTTAATTTCATGTTTCTAGGTTAAATTTTATAGAAAACTCAAAAAGTACCAGTCGAAGGACGAAAAAGTACCAAAAAGTCCCCTTTTATAGATTCTCATTAACTAAGGCCTCCGCATGCTTAATTTCATGTTTCTAGGTTAAATTTTGTAGAAAACTCAAAAAGTACCAGTCGAAGGACGAAAAAGTACCAAAAAGTCCCCTTTTATAGATTCTCATTTACTCCGGGCTCTACATGCTTAATATCATGTTTCTAGGTTAAATTTTATAGAAAACTCAAAAAGTACCAGTCGCAGGACGAAAAAGTACCAAAAAGTCCCCTTTTATAGATTCTCATTTACTCCGGTCTCTACATGTTTAATTTCATGTTTCTAGGTTCAATATTACAGAAAATTCAAAAAGTACCTTTTGAAGAACGAAAAAGTACCAAAAAGTCCTATTTTATAGATTCTCATTTACTCCGAGCTCTACATGCTTAATTTCATGTTTCTAGGTTTAATTTTAAAGAAAACTCAAAAAAGTACCTGTGTAGAACGAAAAAGTAGCGAAAAGTCCCTTTATTATTAATTTAATGTTTCTATTTCAATATCATAGAAAACTCAAAAAGGACCAGTTGGAGAATGAAAAGTACCAAAAAATATCACTTGATACCGGGGTTCCAAATAACACCCCATTAGGATATTTAGTGTTTCTAAATTTAAAAATTTTATCTAAATTGGATCATTGTGGTTGAATAAAATCAAATTTCCCGTTTTTATCCCTTTTGGTACTTTTTTCCTCCCCATTAACGAAATAAAAATTCTATTCCAAAAAGTTGCAACATCGTAGTGGGAGCCCGTTATTATGTATTCATATGTATAAGTTAATAAACCAAAAACAATGTTTTATGAAAAAAGTACCAAAAATAGGTACAATTTTAACCCCTTAAACGTCCGAATATCCAAAAAGTACTAAATTCATATTTTTATTTTTTCGTTAAGTTATGAAGGAGTCAAAAATATTTTTTGAATGTGCACTAGTTTAAAAGATACATGGGGTGCGAAAAAAGTACCAAAATACAGTTTTTACCCGTTTATTCCCTAAAGGGGCCGAAATTGAAAAAAGTACCAGACACCTCTCCGTTTATTTTTTAAATGAACGGCGATAAGCTTTAAACTGTTTTTGTATCTTTTCTAGTTTAGGAGATATAAGGTTACCGAATTTACCCGTTTTTACCCTTTTTTACCCCCTAAACATTCGAATTTTCAAAAATCCCGTCTTAGTGGATCTATTTGGCGGGAGACCAACCTCCTGTCCAAATTTCAGCTCTTTAGCTTCAACCGTTTAGGCTGTGCGATGATGAATCAGTCAGTGAATCAGTCAGTCAGTCAGTCAGTAACGTTAGAATTTTATATATATAGATGTATATAGATTTCGTGCATTGAATTATACTGTAAAAACAATGTAATGTTCGACTTGAATTCAAGTTTCGTTTTCACTGGAGAATGCTATTGAATTAAAGTGTATTTCAACACTTCAAATTTGAATGTTTAACTGGAATTAAACTTGTTTTAAACTTTAATTCCAGCAAGAATGCTTATTTGGTATAGTGTGACAACTATAAGGGACCTAAAGTCGACATAAAGCCCACAATGGTTAGTACCAATATTTTGCCCAAACAACATCTACATACCTAGCCAGGTTATATCCTCTAGGTCCGTGAAGACATTCTCTACAAAGCTATAAATTTTTATAAAAGGCGGCTTAACAATTGTTTCTTGTAAATATTCGGCCACCATAGTGTTTGGAGACAACAAGAGCTTCACTGAAAGGCACACCAGACAGACATCGCGCTCTATTATGGGTGTATGTTAGTGATTCTGCTGAGATCAATGGTATAATAATAAGTATGTATCCCAAGGATACCCCCTGAATACGGCAATCAGCTTCCGTCCATTACTTCTAGGTGATAATATACCACGTCACCACTAGCCGACCGACCACCTCCCGCCTAGGTGACTAGGGAGGTATACAATTGCCACTCTCTTGTGGGCATTCTTCCAGGAGACCATCATGATGACTCCTCTTTCTTGAAAAGAAAGACGTTCTTTATAAACAAATAAATAATTAATTAACACCATTACTTACATTTTTTAATCTTCTAGATCTCACAAACAGGCCAAATCAATCAATATTTTTAGTATTTACACTTAAATACTTTTTCAATAAACAATTATGTTATTTCCAAAACCAAAATTATATGTACATAATATATATTTTATAACTTAAAAAAAATCAAACAATTTCCAAACTGAACACGTTACGTTCTACATTTGCTACAAACTCAAAATGTGTGTAAAATGGCAGAAGATCAAATAAAGAATTTGCAAAAATTGGCGCGAAAACATGCAACTGCGCGCAAAAAATTGCAGAATTTTTCCTTCAAACAGATTTTGTTTGATGTCCCATTTAAAATATATTGGTTTGACGACGTAGGAAACTCTGGTTTGTCAAACAGCAATGTATTTTTCGTATCTCGTGAAACACATAAAGTGTTTGACAGACTCATAAATTGAACAGCTGAGTCCACGGTATACTTAACAAGGTACCAGCACATTCAGTACACCCTGGTTGAGTCAGAGAACCAAGTCGGTCCAAAATTTCGGCGGCGTTATTTTTTTGGTCATGGCGGCCTGTTAATGAAAGTTAGGAGCACGGTGTACTGAATACCGTGGTTAGGTGGTGCCAACGGCACAATTTTGTTGAAAATTGTATGTACACAATTTTCCAGTTTTTTCTATTGAACGTTTTCTATAACTTTTTTCCACTAATATTTTTATAGAAAGTACTGATACATTCGAAAAAAGTCGAAAAAAATCGATAAGTCAAAAAAGTCGAAAACTCAAGAATAGTAGAAAAAAGTAATAAATACCCAGCGGTAAAAATACACATTATGTACTCGCTTATCTAAGTGATATTTCGTGGCAGTCAGTGGTGATGCTTTAAATTATTCTTCCACTTAGATTTAACATAAAAGTGTCCTAGGCTGCCTCATCGATGTGCTCTCGCTTATAATGTAAGCCACAATATCATTAAGACAAATTAATATTTCACTTACATTATGTGTGGAGTTCTAAGCGAAGTTAATGAGACGCCTATAAACGCTTGCAAATAAGAATGTAATGTATGTAGATTACAATCCTATTTGCATTTGTAAGTTAAAGTACCATGTCTTCCGATTATGTTATAGAAAAAATATATATTTTTTATATTTATTTTAAAATTATGCAATTTTATTTAAAAATGATCATCAAATAATAAACATGTATTATAGTTAATTCAATAAAAATATAATTAAACAATAAAAGATAAGATAAATGAAATGAATCTTAATTTTCTTTTGAAACTTTCGGTAATCTTCCTTTAGAGATCCTGTAAATAATCAAGAGGAAATTGTCAGTATTAAAACTAGAATATATGAAGTACATTTACCCCAATTTTTAAGTCCGTTTCTGCCATTTAGATCACCACAATTATTTTAAATTTTTACAATAAAATAACTTTTTTAACAAAACACAACGTCACTTACAAAAGATCAACTTTAAACTGAAACAAAAATATTCTTCTTTTCATGTATGTAGTATACAAAAGAAAAATAAAACGGTACTTTAGTTAAGTTTTTTTTTTTTCAAAGAAATAAAAACAAAAAACAACATGAAAAAGGCAGCTAACTCTCTGCTTAAATCGTAATCTATGTTATAATTAAAGTGCATGATATGTTGGATTACGCATATATTGCACTCTAAGTACTTAGATTGCTCGCTTAGAACGTCATACTGATGTCATCGAATATTATCTAAGTACTTTGTTTCATTTACCGCTGGGTAGTTGAAAATTTTAAAAAAGTGGAAAAAAAAATCAAAAACCCTAAAATAGTCGGAAAAACTCGAAAAAAGTCAAATAGTCAAAAATTCGAAAAGTCGGAAAAATTCGAAAAGTCGGAAAAAGTATTTATAAAATACTTAAAGTCTAAAAGTCGACTTTTAATTAAATGAAAAAAGTTGAAAAATCGACTTTTCATAAAATGCAAAAAGTTGAAAAGTCGACTTTTAACCAAATGCAAAAAGTCGACTTTTCGTTTGAACTATAAAACGCTAATACTTAGTGCATCCTGCAATTATCCGTAAAACATACTTTTATACAGTACATTATTTAAAAAAACAGTTACATTGGAGGTCAAAAGTAAAGCATTAAATATAAAATTTTTACACTGAATAAATTTTGAAATTGTTTTTGGATCTGTTAGTTTCTTTACATCTTTTGGTGAACTGATCTATAATGATCCAAAGGTTCCCAATAGGGTTTAGGTCAAGTGATTGTGTTTTGGTCCGTTTTCGTGTTTCATCGCCATAAAGAAGAATAACGTTTTTAATACTTTTTCCTTTTTTTTTTTGCAAACCCGCCATAATCATCACTCATTACTTTAGTGCTATTGAGACCTCAAACTTAATAAAACAGTAAACAGAAAACAGAAAACATAGATACGCAGAAAAGACATTTTAGCGATGACGGTTTCGATACAGCCAGGGGAGAACCGTCAATAAAATAATCAAACGAATTACAAAAACAAACAAGATCCTAAGAAAATTGGGGTGGGCCAAAATAATTTTGATTGTTTATGTGGTGTTCAGTGGTTTATGTATTTGTTAATACAAACAAAATATAATTTATCATTAAAACGGTATTTTAAACTCTCTTTGCATTTCTTTTGCACTAATATTACAAATTCTTCATATGCTTTTGCAGATGTACATATTTTTATTTTTCGATTCTATTTTCCTATGCAAAAATCCTTAAAGACTACATCCAATATGTCGTCGGTGCTAACATGGCCAGTTATACGCTCTATATCTTTGACAGCATGTCTTAACTTTTGAGCGGATATTGCAATATCGGGGAAAATATCTGGTGAATATTCGGACAAAAATAATTGTATGTGATCAATGCACCGCTCTAAATGTAAGCGATATCGGGAATGTGTCAACCGGGGTGCTTCGGGTAATGGAATTCCACAACTGAAAATTTATTATTAATTATGATTAAACACCATTGTTCACCTATATGGCCATGTGAGAATTTACTTACAGCTCGATTAGTAGATTCTCGAATTGTCTCAGAAACTTTTTTAGATTTGTCCTATTTTTACAAGATATAACAAATATGTTGGGCAGTTCCTGGATGGTTTTAAGTTCATCATCGGACAGCAAGTCAGCTTTGTTGACAACAATTTGTATGCGTTTATTTGACAGTATTTCCTCATTTAGATCCAAATCTTTTAAATAATTATTTAAATAATGATTGAATGATTTTAAATCATTTACTTGTATATTTTTCAAGTGACCGGCATCCATCATTATTAAGACTAGGTCCGCTTCGAGTACACAGTTTCTAGCCTTTAAAATACCTTGTTTTTCAACTTTATCATCTGTCGATCGTCTTAGTCCAGCTGTATCAGAAAAGCGAACAGGATACCCTCCAATATTATATGTGGACTCTATAACATCTCTGGTGGTCCCTGCTATTTCAGTCACAATTGACAATTCTCTTTGGCACATTAGATTAAGAAAACTGCTTTTACCCACATTTGGAGCACCAATAATAGCTGTACGCACACCGTCTCTTAACATCTCTCCCTGTCTTTGATCATTGAGATGCTCCCTTATCTCCAGTTGAATTTTCTTCAACTCTTTTTTAAGTTGGACAATGACATCATCTTCTATATTTTCATCTTCTGCGAAATCTATATAAGCTTCCAAATGGGCTGCACAGCGGATCAAACGTTTTCTCCAATTATCATAAAGCCTTGAAAGCGAGCCAGTACTTTGCAGAAGTGCCTGTAGAAATACAAATATTTTTAGAAAGCCTAGAATTTATTGATTATGGGAAGACTTACTTGTTTTCTTTGAGCTTCTGTTTCGGCATGTATAAGGTCTGCCAGACCTTCTACTTCGGTCAGATCTAATTTATTACCAAAAAATGCTCGTTTTGTAAATTCTCCAGGTGTGGCTGGCCTTAGGCCCGTTACATGTCCTAATGCGTCCATCATTGCAGCAATCACAGCTAAAGAGCCATGAACTTGAAACTCACAACTGTCTTCTCCAGTGTATGAAGCAGGTCCAGGAAACCATAAAACTATACCTTTGTCAATAATTTCGTTACTCTTGGGATGGTGTAAAGTCTTTAAATATGCATATCGCTCCTTTAGTTCGTGACGATTTCCTACAATAGCTCGAAGTGCTTGTCTTGTTTGCGGCCCAGATACTCGTATCACAGAAACACCGCATTTTCCATATGCTGAACTTAAAGAATAAATAGTATTTGCAGTGCTCATCAAACGTGTCCTAACATAATTGCACTTTGCACTTAATAATAAATTCCTAAATACACTATACATTTTCTAACAAGAGAAAAAATAATATATTCAATTGGCCAAGAAATGTAAACAAAAATAATGTTATAAATAACACAATATACAAACATACAAACATCAGAGCCCTGCGCTGACGAATATTAAAGGCGGCGGCGGCTTACACTAAAAATGCCGGTGGTAGCTTAAAATCGGTTGTAAGCCGGCTAGTTAGAAAAGACCATGTATATAAGGCAATTTCATGTCAAGTGACCCAGAAAGCTTATACAATTTCCTTTAAGGGCTTTATAGATCCATAATGGGATGCGATATATAAAAAAATAATATTTTAACCTCAAAAGCAAAGTTTTTGAAATAAAATATTATTTTTTCACATCCCAATAAGTGACCACAAAGCTCTTGACCCATTCGTTCCCACTGTACTCGCTTGGGTACAAAAAACAAGAGGTTTTATAATGATAGATTATCCATATTACTGCAATTTTTTGTAAAAATAATTAAAAAAATTGTTTTTAAGTTTATTTTATAAGCTTAAATGTTGGTGTACTCGCTTGGGTACAATGGGACTACCTATGTCTATTTTCTCATATGTATATCATAATTTTCTTCTAAGGATGTTTATGTCATTTTTGGTGAACATTTTAGAAGGCTTGTGATGCTACTGAGTATTATATTTATAATAAAATCAGTTCACATTTAGATTTTTTCATTATTTTTCCAAACATTGCATAGAAATTGATGAATACAATTAATTACTGGAGGATCTACCAGACTACATTTTTGATGAATAGGAATTGTATGACAGTAGTGCCAGTGAAGAATACATCCCATTTGATGAATCTTAATGAATTTATTTTAGCACAAATATCAATAAAGTGTCGAAAAAGTGCACTGCATACGGTAATTCACAGAGAATTTTAATTTATTTCATACTTAATCTAATTGAATAATTCTAATACTAATTGATTCGATTTTTTATATAGGAAAGTACCAAAATATAAAAAAAATAATAAAAATTGTTTTTAATTTTTTTTATTTATTTGTATTTATACCCATATTGTTTATTTTTATTTATTTATTTTATTTATTTTTATTTTAAATTAACCCATAATAAGATACATTTTGCAACAAATAATTTAAATTTATTGATTTTAAGATGGTTGGGTTAAAGGAAATGGTCTAAGCTTTCTTTTGAGTAAAAAAAAAATACAACGAAAACGTCCATTTGGAAAAAATAGGGGAAAATTAAGTGCCAAATATTGAAAAAAATTGAGGGCCCATTTTGAAAAATAATTAAAAAAAATAAATTTGGAAACAATGCAGAAATAGAAATCGGACCTGTTGTGCGCCCCTTAACCTCTGGTGGGCATCGAACCCACCACCTCCGATCTACCAGACTAGAACACTAACCACTAATCTACCGGAGACCACATATTCTAAGTCGGATAATCCGAGATATTAAAAAGTTGGATTTGAAAGCAAATACCAAAGAATATAAAGAAATTGAACTGCGACATTGTTTTACAACAATAACATTTCACTCTTTTCGCAGACGAGGATTGTTATATGGGAACTAGAGTTAAATTTGGACTAATCTTAATGATATTTTCCAGTATGATTCTTGGCCACTTAAAGCAGACTTCTGTTAAATTTGTTGACAATCGTTTCATAGTAAACGTACTTTCTAGCAATCATATATTTTCCGAGTGTATTCCACACAACTTACGGAAATAGCTGAAAAAATATTTGTTCGTCAAAAAATAAATGTTTCATATAGTTTTTATTTTATTTAGTTTTTTATCTCTCCTGTAATATTTTGAAGTGTGCATATGTGTGAAATATTAAAGAACGGAAAATATTTGTATTTGGAGCTTTGACCAGTCCTATAAATTTCAATTCCACTTTATAAACTGATATTTTAATTTAAATGCTTTAGTTTTTTATTAAAATTTCTTGTAATTTTGGTATGAATGAATAAAAATTTACCTATCACAATTGATTAATTACAATATATATTTTTTTTTAAACATTAATTTGTCAACCTTTTACAAAAGTCATTCGACGTCTCATTTCAGCCCACACTTCACACATACTTGGATGGTTCAAACATTTACATTCAATAGGATGGAGTGGATCAGTTTCTTTTCGTAAGCATTCTGAATAGCTCGGGTAGGGCGTACACTCTTTTAAACAATCACTAGGTGAACGTTCTCTTTTACATTTGGGTGGCTGACGAGCCCCGCGACAACCGGATAACATGACCCTTGGACACTTTCGGCTTCTGTTGTCCATGCAAATTCTAGATCCACCCACAGGACATGCTGTCTGTGGTCTTTTCTTACGAGACCTCTTTTCCATTGGTGGAAATTTAAGATTTTCATGACTACAATTTTTTTTCGGTCTAATTTGTAGTTCTGGACAAGAAACCCAAGTCTGTTGATAATTTCGCTTCAGTTTGTCAGTGCTTTCGTAATACAGCTCGTCAAACCTTGGATAATAATCAGGGCAGGGATCTTTACAACATTCGGGATTCTCCCACATGGAATTTGTTTTAGGCAATTCCTCTTTTGCTTCCAACCGACGAATTTTCGAAGGGCAAGGTTTCTGTTTTTCAAGTGTTTGCTTTGAGCATTTAGGATCATCGTGAGTAGCGCACTTTCCACGTGATGCAAAGCGCTTAACCAACAAAGTTCTTAAAATCGGAAAGTGATTGATTGGTCTAAGAGATTTAGATATATAGCCTGACATAATTAAATTTTGAATTTTTTATTATTTTAACTATTTTTTTAAATTTTTGTCGAGATACTATTTAAAATGAAATTAAAATTTATATGAATTTGTAGTTTTGAAAAATTTAGTAAAAAAATAGCTGCCTTAGATTTATTTATGTATGTGTTTAAAAAAGAGTAGATTATGTGAAGGGTTAAATAATTATTTCATCCATGATCAATATCAGTGACATTCCTTTATTTTTATAACCTTCACCACCGTGAGAAGGGTATATAGATACATCCAAATCTGATTCTATCACGAATGCTTTCAAGATGTTCTTTAAAGTCAGCAAAATCGGTCCACAAATAACGCAAATATTCCGAAATAACCGTTGGATACAGGCATAAAAAAATTTGAAAATGGTACTGAACATTTTTTAACATAATGGTACTTTTTCCAAAAATATTTTATTATAAAACGAATCTTATATGTAATTTTTCCTCTCGGAGGTGAAAGGTATGATAAACAACTTAAATTCTTATTTACATATATTAATTTTTAATCCTATTGATATTGACTCTAGTTGATTTAATTGAGATGCCCTCATTGTCCCTTTCTAAATTTTGTTGAGAAAATATACTATGTCAAATTTTATGCTTATTGAAAAAATCTTAAAAATATGAACTTTGAACCTCGATAAAATTTAAGCCCTAAGGAATTTGAAAATTTTGGACAACTTTAAATTTCATATTTATACGAAGAATGTGTGTAGCAAATTTCATCGAAATCCGAGAGGGTCATGTTCAAAATCCCACTTGTTTGTTAAAAATTTTGTTTAAATTACCCCAACTTTTAGTTAGTTATTATTCAAAATTTTAAATATTTGATTATAGTGCTTATTTCTACGATCCACTCAATTGAGTTATAGTGAAACAATTAACATTATCACAAAAAATATTACTGATAAAAATACTACCTTCAATATCACTATATATTTTTAACAATAAAATTAAGTAAGTGCTAGTGAAATGCTGATTGAACTCAAAATTAAGTACACTACCCCAACTCTGTCAAAAAATTATAAATTTTCCCTACAAAAATTATTGGAGTACATAATCCATTTAAGTAATCCAAAAACTACTCGCCTGTAAACATTATTGGAGAACATGATCCGTTTAGTAGTCCTATGTAGTGGAGGCATGGATCATGTTTATTATTTTTGAAAACAAGATGGTCCATAGCCTTCATTATATAGGGCCATGTTGCCATGTTGTTCCTGTACTCGAATAATTTAAGCAAAGGACTAGTTTTGGGATTACTCCGATGTAATGCATTGCTGTATTACGTGGTACTCACCTAGGACATCACGGTATAAAATGGGATATTTTCTTTCCATATATTTGGATTATCTTTACACGCGCTAGCGGAGTAGTCTCAATTTTTGCTGGGTTGTATTAACATTGAAAGGTTTACAATAGTGAGGGATGGACGCTTATGAGTGGTGTAAAATTAAAAGAAAATATAAAATTAAAAACAAAATTTTAGTTTTTAATATTACAATCTTAAAAACTGTTTATTGTCAATCATTTGTTACCAAATTTATAAGTAAAAATTCTTTTTTTAAATAAAAAAAAATCATTAATTTTTGTTTGTAATAAACTTACTTTATTAATTTCTTTTTAAATACAGTATGGTGGGGGTATACATATAAGATAATATATGTACATATGTATGTATGTATGTATGTATTAGAGCCCTGCATGAGTGACTTAAATAATAAATTAAAACATTTGATTTTTTTCAAACACTGTGTTTGACTCACTCATTGTTTTATGAATGAAATGAATAGTATATTTGAAAATAAGGAATGTTAGTCAATACTCAATTCAAACGAAACAAGTAATGAGAGTGTTTGTGTGATTCAATTCAAGTAGTATACAGTGAGTGAATCGAGTGAAAGCAAAACAATTTTTAAGTTCGACAAATTAACAGATTTTTTGAATATTACTTCGAATTTTCGAACTTAATTTCGAATAGTCGAAGATAATATAGTAGCGTCATCAACTGTACTTAACACTGCCAAATTTCAGCCAATTTGGTCCACGGAAACTGGTTTTATCAGCTTTAAATTTTTTTCGAACATGAGTTCGAATTTTCGAAAATTTTTTTTTAGTTTTTTTGACTCAAAGAATAATTTAAAAGCATAAAAAATTTTTCGAACATAACTTCGAATTTTCGAACTTAATTTCGAATATTCGAACATAATATTATCTTGTCATCAATTGTACTCAAGACTACCAAATTTCAGCGAATTCGGGCCACAGGAACTAGTTTTAACAGCATTCAAAATTTTCACCATTTATTCAAGAAAAAGTTTGAATCGATTCATTCGATTCAAACAATCTATTTTGTATTGTTTTAACATAAACAAATTGTTTACTCGCTCGATTTGAATGTAGTTGCACATTCACTTGATAGTACTCACAACGTTTGAGTATAACAAAACTTTGTAAATACTATTCTAAACAAACAATGAGTTGAGTGCAAAGCAATGAGTCACTCATTGTGTGTAGCAAATAGAGTTACTCATGCAGGGCACTAGTATGTATGTATGTATGTATGTATGTATGTATGTATGTATGTATGATAGTATGTATGTATGTATGTATGTATGTATGTATGTATGTATGTATGTATGTATGTATGTATGTGTATGTATGTATGTATGTATGTATGTATGTATGTAGTATGTATGTATGTATGTATGTATGTATGTATGTGTATGTATGTATGTATGTATGTAGTATGTATGTATGTATGTATGTATGTATGTATGTATGTATGTATGTGTATGTATGTATGTATGTATGTATGTATGTATGTAGATGTATGTATGTAGTATGTATGTATGTATGTATGTATGTATGTATGTATGTATGTATGTATGTATGTATGTATGTATGTATGTATGTATGTATGTATGTATGTATGTATGTATGTATGTATGTATGTATGTATGATGTATGTATGTATGTATGTATGTAGGTATGTATGTATGTATGTATGTATGTATGTATGTATGTATGTATGTATGTATGTATGTATGTATGTATGTAGTATGTATGTAGTATGTATGTATGTATGTATGTATGTATGTAGATGTATGTATGTATGTAGTATGTATGTATGTATGTATGTATGTATGTATGTATGTAATGTATGTATGTATGTATGTATGTATGTATGTATGTATGTATGTATGTATGTATGTGTATGTATGTATGTATGTATGTATGTATGTATGTATGTATGTATGTATGTATGTATGTATGTATGTATGTATGTATGTATGTATGTATGTATGTATGTATGTATGTATGTATGTATGTATGTATGTATGTATGTATGTATGTATGTATGTATGTATGTATGTATGTATGTATGTATGTATGTATGTATGTATGTATGTATGTATGTATGTATGTATGTATGTAGTATGTATGTATGTATGTATGTATGATGTATGTATGATGTATGTATGTATGTATGTATGTATGTATGTATGTATGTATGTATGTATGTATGTATGTATGTATGCTATAAATATTAGAATAATTATACTAAACATATTGAGTGTAACGTTTGAAGAATTTTTCTACGATGGGACATTTGCCAAATGTTTCACCACAATTTGCTCCAGTTTCACCGGCTATTCGAGCATTTATATAACGCTCATCCACATTTGAACGAAGAGGCCTATCATAATAAAATGAAAATTATTAAACTCAATTAAGTAAATAATTAAATTAAGACGTCATTCATAATCATATTATTAATTTATCAAAGATTTGTATAACAAATTCTGATAATAAAATAAAAATTTGATTATGATTAGAGGAATATTGATATGACCAACTCACGTGAAAATCAAATTTATTAGTTTGTGGTAAATATTTCTACCATTATCATCTAATATTCCATTTTCATCATTGTCTGTGATGTGCATTTGTATGGAACCTTCATTGCTTGCGTTCATGTCTTCGATTAAAGGGGCTCGTGCCACTTCACAAATGACCTTTAATAGGCATTCGCCACCGAAATCTCCAAAGCTACAAACATTTGCATATATTATATATTAATATGAGCATTAGGAAGATTTATTGACAAATGATTTTCTTTATGAGGGGTTGTATGGGTGAAGGTTCAATTACAATCCTATACTTATGACAATTTGTAGAGATATATGTATGTATATACGTTATGGTAGCACCAAAATGGAAGTAGCTGATGTTCCCGCCCAAAATAAAAATTTAGTTCATTCTTAGATAGCAAGGTAATTTTTTGAGGTTATTATGACTTTTGTTTCATATGCCACATCCAGTACTGCTAGTCATGGTAGTAAGGTTACTCGTACAGCTATAGTAGTCATGGTTTCCCAGGTATATAGAATTTAGTACTTAATCTTTAAATTATGACGTGAAATTGTTTAGCGTATATGAAGAGGTGGAGTAAATTATACACCTTATTTATTTTATATATAATTTTTAATGTGTGTATAATATAATAATGTTATACTTATATTATTCGAATTTGATTGCTTCTAATAAAAGAATTGTTAACAAAAACAGGGATAAAATTTAAAATTTATTTAAAAAAATTGAACTGTTTTCGCAAGCCTCTTTTTCACAGACCAAAAAAATAAAAAAAGTGTAAAAATTACTACCACGTCATAAGTTAAAAGTTAATGATGTAACTGTTCTAGAGTCCCAAATATTCGATTTTTAATCTATACTTCATAGCGAAGATGCTACGCCTACTATTCTAGTTCGCCAATCATTTCCTATATAGTTGTAGGGATGTCAAAAAACATTGTGCAAAGCTTGAGGATGTCTCTTACTATTGTAGTAAATATTTATTTTTATACATTCATATACCTAGTTATTTGTACAAAATTTGGTGATCGGTAGCATTTATTATTTATTACGACTATTACAACACACTTACCGTTGCAAAATTGTTTCCATAAAATCATAGATTAGACTACGACTTCTATCATAACTCAACAGCATTTCTGTTGAACGCTTACGAGCATTTCTGCGTGCTGCAAATGTTGATGTATTATATAAACTCCACCAGTACACTGGAATGGTCGGTGGGGGATATTGCATTTGAAAATTATAGAAATAACTTAATGATTTTGTTTTGTCTGCCATTATAATTGGGTAAGATGTTCCAAAGACGAGCTAAAAGAATTTTAAAATTTTTAATGATTATTTTTTTGTGATTTCAAATGTTTAAAACAATCAAAAATAGTATTTTTATTTCCACCACATTTTCTACAGTTTAAATAGCAATCGTGATACATTCATTCTTTTGATACTAATTTTAAGTCGAATTACATAATTCGCTTACAAAGTTATGTACATACATACATATATGCTCAAATTATTTATTCGTTCGAAGTTGGTTTCTACTTACTTTTACTACTCCTCCACCTTGAAAGATTAAAAAGCGTTTAATTCTTTTTGAAGTCGTTGTATCATTTTCGTTGTTAGATGTTGTTGAATTTTCAAAAGTTTCAGTTTGATTTGAATATAAACAATCATCAGGAATACTTTTGAAGAAAATATGGTACTCGTAATAAAGTAATAAACTGAATAAACCAAAAATCATTGTAATTGTTTTGCAATGACCGAATTGAATTAATTTCATTTTGTTGTTCGTAATCAAATAAGAAAATACATATTTGTTATGTTAAATTTCGAATCTATTTTTTATTATCGGAGTATTTTGATCCACATAAATATTCTCTATTGTTTATATATATTAATTTTGAACAATATTTTTTAAATGGTGGTGACAACGATGATGATGGTATGGTGTCAATGATGACGACTAGAACATGTTTATGGTTAAAATACTAAAGTGGTTTTGCGTGTAATTAACACGTTGATACATGGTTTTTATGCCGTAAATTGCAACGTTGACAAAGTTTTGTTTTTCTATGGTTGGTTTGTGCTTTGTCTATGTTCGGGTTCGGGTTTGTGTAGAATGTGGCTTTTGATTTTTATTTATTTTTGTTATGGTTGTGTGCATTTATGAACATACATATATACATACATACACATTTGATGCTTGTGAAGCACTTCATTAACAATTATCTGTCGTCCTCACCCTTGTATGGTTAGATACAATCTTCAGACTACTTTTATTTCGTAAATATCTTTAAAATAAAATTATATATAGTTCCATTTTTAATTTATCAGAGAGTTTATCGGAAATCAAATACTTTATGAAGAATCTAAAATCGGTTGTAGTTCCTTAAATATTAATCAATACATCAATTAAATTATTCACTAAAATTTGATTTTAATAAGTATCTAATTTAAAAACAACTTATCTGTAAATACTAAAATTTTCCATTAAAATTATTACAATTACATTTTTAAATGAAAAACCTATAATCTCCCATACATACATATGTATGTGTGTGTGCTGAAATGTATCTTGGGTTAACAAACATAACCAATATTGTAACAAATATCGGTAAATACTACATTTGCGACATTTAAACTTAATAAATGCATGTTCCCATTTTGAAATAAATCATTCTATTACTATGTAATTAGAAAACTTAAAGCAAAACCAATAATGAAAACTGCTACCAAAAGTGTCAACTAGTGTTAATTATTAAATTAGTCAGTAGACACAGTTCGCGGATAGAATGTTTTATGAGAGACACATTATCCTTAAATTCTTTATTTTAATTTCAATTAAATGTGTTGAAAGTGCGCTATTGTATCCACAGTACACCGTAATTCAGGTGAGTTGAAAAAAATGTCTTATGAATTGTTTAGTAATAAAATTTTATATTTAAAAGTTGGTCGGTTCCATATCTGTGCCAATAGCGGACCTGCCGCCAAATCGTAAAGTTTATTTTGATTGGGGTTTACAAATGAACTATGACATGCCATTTAATGTATCATCATTTTATACGGTTCCTATATGGCCAACTAGAGGGTCAAGAAATATAATATTTAATTCTCGTGCAGTGAATAAACATGATTTTACAGCTAAAAATCTTTATGATGGTCTGGAAAACTTGCTTGAGGAGTAAGTCATAAAAATACAACATTAATCAATATTACAATGCAAATTAATTGTATTTAAAATATTAGATATGGTTATGATAGATCCTGCTTGAAACGATCAATTTGTGAGTTGTCAAAATATCCGTTCGATGAATCCTTTGCCAATGTTGTCACTGACATGGTAAAATTCTTTTTAACGTAAGTAGTTTCTACTTTCAAATATAAACTAATTTATATGGCAATATAAAATTACACACATACATACATATGCATATACAAACTCTATCGTAACGTTAACTGCGTTATGTTCAAAATGTCTTGAATATAATTAAATACGTTTTTAATTTTTAGGCCTTCTATACATCAAGGTTTTTCAGCAGATGAAAAATATGAGGAAACTCTTTATAGTTTGGCGGAAAATGAAGGATTTATGGGGAAAAATTGTCAGCAAATATACCCGGAGTGCATTGAAAGTCCATTTAATCTATTAACAATAACTTATTTTAAAAATATTTAAATAAATGCTTTTGTACACCTTCAACTATGAAAATATTAACTTATTATTTTGGAAAGATTACTCAATAAATCACGTTTACAATCGGGATACAAAAACGTACAATCCTCTCCTAGAAATCCGCTTCTTTCGGCATCTTCATAGGATTCACGATAAACTTGTTCTGACTTAACAAAGCCCTCATGCAACGATGGCCTAAATAAAATAATAACAACAAAATTTAATAAATTTTACATTATCGGCTGTTAATTAAACGTACGTTAAAATAAATGTAAGAATATCGGTTAAAAGATTTCGATGTTCTTCAGCAAACGGATGCTTGGCCAATTCGCAAACACTTTTAAGTAGACAAGTTTCGTGGTATCCATAACTGGAATAAGGAATTATAAAGGGTTAATTATTAATAATGATAGTTTTCTTATTTCGGACCTATTTACACACCTGACTAAGAAATCTTCAATACTTTGATACAGTTCGCCAGCCGTAAAATCACTTGGGTGACGTCCTAGATGTTTGGTAGCATTGTATTTTTCAAATATTGACCAATTGTTGAATGGGTCCAGCATAAATGAATTGATATCGCGTTTACGGGTTTTGGAGCCATGCTTACCAGGCCAAATGGGGATATTGTAAAACGAAGAAAGTTTATAGGGCAAATCGTATGACATTTGAAAGCACCAATCCACAATGCATCGTCGATCAGGCAACAGTTCCAAAATTGGTACAGAAACCGATGAAACTAACTATAACAAAATAAAACTGTAGTTGTAGAATATATTTTATAATATTCAATAATTATCCTAAATTTCAACTTACACCCAATGACGATGAAGCCGGATATAAGAGTGACCTAGATGATTTTGTAAACATCATTAAAATTACTATAAAAATTAACTTCATCACCACAAAATACTGACGAGTTGTGCTTTCTATAACGATTTCACTTTTAAGACTGATTCTTAAAAAAAGTAAACTCAAATTAAATCTCCCACAATCAAAAAACTATGTAATTGAAATGAAGACGTTAACATTTGTATTTGTGGACTTGTGAATGTGGTTTTTGTTAAAGTGTGTCAAGTTTGATTAACGAGCTTTTGTGCGTTTGTTAACAAACGAATTTTGTTTAATGTCGTTTACTGGTAAATAAGAAAAATAAACAAGATTTCCAAAAAATGTTCTTGCAAGATTTACTTTCATAAATTTTACTCTAGTTTCACTTTACAATCGGGTACGTAAAGAACATTTGTGGTCTTCTCTTTCGAAATATGCGTGTTATGCACATTTTATTATTTTTCTGTATAGTAACCTTGACTCAGTGGTCAGAATGCACCTTCGGTCAAACGAATTCAATAGACACGAATCAGAAATCTACTTTGAGACCAGTAGTGGAACGTGTGTTTTCACGTAAGAAGAGATGGATGTTATTTCCCAAAGGAGCAAATCTCAAGTTTACTTTGAACGTTAGTAAACGTCTGCTGGCCATGTATCCGAAAGGGTTTAATTTCAATTTTGAAGCGGCAATTTACTATCCCATGCCTTCAGCTAGAATAGATTTGATACCTAAGAGATTTAGAAAACCCACTACGAAAGCACCTGCACCTAAAGGCCCTACACCTCTTTACTTAGTTGGAATACCGGGGTCCTTGATAAAATATCGTGCCAAACCGGCTACTAAACCAGCAAAAGTACAACGTATTGACCAAAATATCTCATCATTACAATGGGTATCCTCACCATCAGCATCCTTATCCAATATAAATTACAACAATTCTCAAAAATGGTCAAAATACAGCTCTCCTGAGTATTTGAAAAACTATCAGTGGACCCCAGAAAAGCAACAAAAATATGTAAATAAATATTCCGATTATAATAATAAATGGAGTCGGTGGTCAACAAATACAAGGACACCACAGTCAATACCAAATCCCTCTTTCAATAACAAGTGGAATCCTCGACCGCGTTACAGTAGGAAAGTTGCAGACGTCGATGACTTGGTTTCATCAATTGACGACTATCATCACAAGGAATATGAACCCATTTACTTTGAAGATCTGGAACCCTTCGAAGACTCCCCTCACTATCATTCCTATCGTGGTCGTAGAGAACTGTTTCATCACTTTGAAGGGTTTTCAAAAATGTGAGTATATTTTATTTATCTGTCCAAAAAGGCACTTATGTACAATAATCATTAGATCAAAATATGTATCTAGTTGACTAGTTAGTTCTTAATAAGTGCGTAAGATTTAATAGGAATCGTGTATTTTTAAATTTATTTATATTTTAGTTTAGGAATTGATATGAAATCTTGTATCTTGCGAGCAGTGTGTGATAGTAAACGATTTCTTCTACCACCTGGTTATTCCATGATCCAGGATATACTACGCGTTGTTTTCACGTGAGTATAATGCGCATTAAAAATATTTTCTAAACACAAATAAAAATACAATTATTTGGGCCCTTTTGCAGATTTCCTACAATTAATGGTTTAAAAGATGACTATACTCGCATAATGGAGGCTGATTACGAAACTTGTGATGCTCACGTCCATAATAAGTGTCCACTTAGTATATTAGATTGGTTACTAAACTCCAAAAAATCCATATGAGTAAAAATTAAAATAGGTAATAAAAAACAAAGTCCGAAAAAAAAAAAACACATTTATTTGTTTAATACGATTTTTTTTCGACTTAAAGAACAAAATGAGAAGACCATAAAGAATCTTTGCAAAGATTATAACGTCTAGTACAGTTTTCTTTTAAGGCATTGGCCGTATCATAACGTTGCTCTTTATATCCAATTCGATGGCGACCATCAGAAGTTTCATCTAAAGGTTCGGGCATTGTAAATATAGCTCGCATTAATTCCCCAACAAACGATCCCGGCTTATGTTCCTTTGATTTTTGTCCCGTCTCACACAGTGCTCTTAGAACACAATGATGACCATGAGATCCCCGACTGCAATAAGATTATTGGTAGAAAATTTATATATTTAATTGTTATTTTGGAATGTGATTCTTTATACACACATTCAAAAGCAACACATTTACATCTATACATCTGTTTGTAAATTTAGTGTATTTTCAATATTAATTTTCTACATACATATGGACATTCATCCATCCATAGGTGGTGCAAAATATTTGCATGATAAATCCGACATTGCTTTGTTTATTAATCGTCCTTTTTTAAAGGTGCAGTCATTGAGTCACAGATTCAGTCGTTTAATATAACTACATAGTGTTTTCTATTTCTTATCTTGTCGTTATTGTTTTATAATTTCATAGTTGATCACTTAAATCCCTGTTGAAGGCAAATTGTTTTAAGTAATTGAAGGATTTCCTCTCATTCTATGTGCATCAGCATTAGGATACTCGTAACATTGCAAAGAAGACAACAGGAGAAGAGACAAGACAAGACAATGTAAGATTAGACAAGTTAAATCTGGAATACAAAGAAAATCCAAATAAAAAACCAATGCAGGGGGCAATCAAACTCAATTTTCTATTTCCATGTCCTTTGTCTTTGCGTCTGCCTGGGTATGTGTGTTTATTATAGTGGATGTATGTATGTATGTATGCGTGTGTCTTTCTAGTTAATGGAATAGGACTAGTGTGAAAGTGTATTGTGGGTGGTTCTGGGCTTGGACGTTTTTGAAGTCACTTCAATTAGTTTTGCTAAAGTGTCATCAACACTTCCTTTAGATTCTAGTCTGATTTTATAAACAAAGGGGATTTCTCTGCATTTCGAATGCTACAAAGATGACACTTGCTGATGATATTTAACTTCTTAACTATAGCTACAATTTAATTTATATTGCAGAGCTTCTTAAACGACATTATTCATGTGAATAACTTTTGGCTGTATTTCAGAAATGCATGGTAGAGTGTTAGGAGCATCAATCAATAACTTACCCATTTAAATAGATTTCTATTCGTTGATATAAATCATGACGCGTTTTACGGTGTTGCTCTATATGTATGCGATCTAATTTCGAAGGTAGGTCAGCAACAATACCACTACGTCGGAAACGGTGATGTGGGGACGTCTTATTTTCATTTTTGTTTTGAGCAACGGTAATACTACGTTTTCCGAAAATTGGATATATTCGATGTTCAGAACGACCAGTACTTGGGAAAGGTTTGTAATTTCCAATTGGCTTTTTATAGTTGATTTGAGCTGTGCTACGATTTGTATTTTTATCAAATCTTCTTACACTTGGATGTCTGATAAAAGAGTTCTTAAGTCTGAAAATTAGGTATGTAAGAATGGATGGACTTTAATTTAATATGAAATTAGCCAAATGAAATATGGTTAAGAAAATATCTGAAATACCATTCAAAATAAAATTTCAAAATGAAACTACTTATATATAAACTTCTTAAAACTAAGTACTTACCGTTCTGATAAATTCCACCAAGGATATTTTATACTATTCGTACTGTATTTAGGTCGGCTTTGAAATTGTGTCCATTTTGTAAAAGGATGAGCTTGTTTTGGTGAGTAGTACTGATTATCCTTTCTAGACCAATTATTGTAGCGATTGTAGAAGTTCATATTCTGCGATCCTTTATTATTCTGATATTTGTAAAAACTATCTGGCGTCGCATAGGTATAATATCGATAATGCATTGGTGGCCTAAATATTGGCTGTAAATTATATTCGTATTTGGCGCTTGATGTTTTAGTTATAGGCATCTTCGTTTTAAGGTCTATATATTTTATATTTTTAACAGTGTCATTGCGCGAAGTTCCCAAGGTGCCATCTCTTAACCGTTCAGTAAAATCTTCGAAAATTTCACTAGGTGGCTTAGATGGTAATTCCCAAGCCAAGGCCACAGTTACACCCAAAATTAAATAGTTGGTGTAGTCGACTACGCCAATGATCAAGTCATACACTACGAGTGGCAGTAAGTTAAATATTTGATAAGGAAAAAATACAATTATTTTAAAATTTACCTAATTGAAATGATGAACCTTCTGGGAATTCCAAGTATCTTCTTTTACGCCTTAAAGGTTGGATACCATCATTAACTAAAGCTACGTTTTTAGGATATTCATGTTGAAGCTGTTCCTTATTTAATTGTTGGTCGATTGCCTGATCCAGCGAATCCCCGTTTGATGCCGTTATGGGATATAATGAAAAATACACCAGAGTTGCCATTACATAGTAAATAAATATAGTTTTATTAGATTTCATGTTGTCAACGTTCACATCAGTTTTTTTTTATAAAAAAATGTTTTTGCTGAAATCAACAGCAAGTGTCTTTTTCTTCTTGTTTAGTTTGTAATTATGTGTCAGTGAATGGAAGCCAACACTTTGTAGTTCTGAGTAAAACTAACTGTTTATGCTGGAAAAGAAGTTTGCAATTTTTTAAATGTAGTTTTTTTTATTTGTTTAAAGAACAATAAAAAAATATAAGAGGTAATACGAAGGAGTGAAAGATAAAGTGGTGATGTTAATTACATTCAAGTTTTCACTCATTTATTAGTAAGTTCGCTGTATAGACAGTGTAAAAAGTTAAACTGAAAAATAACCTGCATTTTGCAGTAACTTTTAGCGGCCTATAGTAAAGTTTAAAGATACCCTGCCAGCAACTCAACTAACTTTAAATGCACTTTTAATGGAGCCAATTGACTATTTTAACATGGCGATGTCCTACGCAGAAGTCAATTGTCCGACTCTGCATAACTTTTCAACTAGCTTAAAGTTAGTTACTAAAAAATTAGCTTAAAGGTAACTCTTTATTAACTAACTTAAAGTTAGTTGCAGAAAAGTCAAGTAATAGTTTTCTTTTGTATTCCCTACTGTATTCGTTAATTACATTTTAATTAAATATATTTAAAATTTAACTACTACTTATCTAAATTACATTTCGCTTTAATACAAGTTATGATATTAGTTCGTTAAAATTAATAGACATCAGTTTTCTGCAGGGGAACTAATAAAGAATAAAGAAACATGTGAAAACATGTCGAAACAAAATGCTCTCCAGATAATTTTGGGGTACTCTCGCATTATATGATAGTTAGCTTGTAGCTAGTCTTTAAAAGTCGGTTGTTTACGTTAATAAATACCAAATTTTGGAACATTTCTGCATTACATTGTTGTTCGTTTATAGTCAGTCTACTAAAGTTAACAAATAAAATCATAATAATAGAGAAACAAGAGAAAACATGTTGAAATACAATTAATTCTCTCCAGATAATTTTGAAGCACTTCTGCATTACATTATAGTTAGCTTGTAGTTAGTATTTAAAAGTCGGTTTTTTACGTTGCCAAATACAAAATTTCGGGACAGCTCTGCATTACATTGTAGTTAGATTATAGTCAGTCTGCAAAAGTAAACTAGAAGTGAATTTTTCTCGTAGTCGACTACAAAATTGCTGGCAGCGTATGAACAGAACACATACAAACATAACATGGTTATGTATTTCTTACAAGAAACAAGAATTTCTAATTTGGTCTTTTTGTCTCATAACTATGTCAAATATATTAGTATGTCCATAGACACAACAACGTATTATATACATATAACGGTAAATTAAACTTCAGATTTTTGTAATGATCAGTTTTCATTTCACTATAGCACCCATACAAACTTCCCTTCAAAAAATTATTAAACGTTCATAATTGATTTATAACCATTAGAATTGTGATGAAATTCAGCAAAACATACGCTATAATAATAAAGCCAATATATAATCATACATACGCTTTTTCAATAAGTAACAAAGCTTAAGACCCCTAAGATATCTGGGGTCTTAAGAAAATTGATTTCAACAGTTTCAGTTTTCATTTCACTATAGCACCCATACAAACTTCCCTTCAAAAAATTATTAAACGTTCATAATTGATTTATAACCATTAGAATTGTGATGAAATTCAGCAAAACATACGCTATAATAATAAAGCCAATATATAATCATACATACGCTTTTTCAATAAGTAACAAAGCTTAAGACCCCTAAGATATCTGGGGTCTTAAGAAAATTGATTTCAACAGACCGAGTATAAAAAGTACGTTGAGCTTTAAATAATTTCAATATTTACTCTTTACAAAATTGTTTTAATACAAAATCGAAATTTTTTTGATATATACAGGTGTTATTGTTTGACCCACGACATTTACACGGTGAAAAAGCAAGAATAGAAGTTGCGGTTAATCCCTCTTAATCCCTATTAAATATCACTCGATCTGCCGCGAAAGGTTTTTGCGCCAAAATGACTCGAGAAACAGTTTTTCGTTATTAGAACAGTACTGGTTACCACGTAGTGATAGGGCCTAATTTTGGTTATCACCCTAATATACATACATACATAAATAGAACAGTGAGTGTAATATTTGTATATGAATAAAAACGCTTTTAGTACAAATTAGTTCATGCTCTGCCATTCATTAAGTTTATAGTTCTCTATTTTTTTTTTTATTTCTGTTGTATGAAAATAAACTTTTTTCAATTAACAATCTGGTGCGGGTTTCGAATGACAAAAGTTTTCGTTTTATTTACATACGTACATAGTACATTCATACACACATACATATAATGTGAAAAAAGTGCACTTCATTTAAACAACAATTTTCTGGTGAAATAATAAAAAATAATAATAATAAGAATAGAAAAAAAATTAAATGAAACTACTAAAACCAAAAATAGAACTTCAAATCAAACTCTAAACTAACAGCCAACCATTCACTGAGTTCCTTTAGGTGATTCTGTGGTTTTTGCTATATTTTGTTACAAATGAATGTATGTTTGTGGGTATTCTATAGTAGCATTTCTTTCACCCTTTCGGATGAATAGCAGCCTTCTCAACACAACCAACAAACACAACCAACATTTTTATTTTTTAATTTCGTATGCATGTTCCTTACTCGTCTGTATTTGTCATTTTATGTTCCACTTCTTTTTCTATTTGTTGATTTTTCATTTTCATTTGGAATATGTAAAAGTGGTTTTCTTTCGTAAATGCATCATAAAATGCCAATTTAAGGGAGTACATAATTTGAAGAAGTTATTATGGGCAACTAAATATATTTATTCTATATTTTTGACGAATTTTGTCATTGATTTGTTAGAGCATATTTTGCATGGTACGTCATGTTTTTGCATATTTTTCTCTTAACTGAATATTTCTGTTTCATACGTTGTTCATTTTATATGCAAAATGTGCATATTTTGTATATTTTTAGAGCATACTTCGTTTTTTTAAGCATTTTTATACACATAAAACACTTTTTAGAGTATACTTTTAGTTACGGACAAATGTTGACTATTGCAATTTATAAAAATCTCTCAATTTTTTAACGTCTAAAGGCAATCTATCAATAATTCAAAATTTACATATGTATATGTAATTAAAATTGATACAAAACAATTAACGTTTAAAACACATTTATTTATACATATTGTACATATACTGATATTCTTAAATAACATTGCATTTTTCAATTTTCGGTCTGAGGATAAAGGCGAGTATGTTTGTACATAGTTATGTGTCATAGGTGATGCTGTATTCACAATCGTAATATTGCTCACTACAACTTTGTGTGACATCATGGGCACGTAAGACCGCATCCGTGTAACGGGAATGTAGATGCAATGATGAATCCTTTGAATTGGTCAGTGTATCTTTGGGCAATGCAAATATAGAACGCAAAAGTTCCATAACAAAACTTTGAGGTCGTTGGTTGTAATGAGCATATGCATGCATTTTTTCCGTTTCACAGAGAGCCCTCAAAACACAAGCGGTTCCATTCTGACCACGTCTGTCAACAGGATTTGCAAAAAAAAGTAAATACGAAAAATTATATAAAATTCGTTAATTTGTTTTAATTTTTTGGGTATGTAGAAAATGCACATGTGTGGATTGTTTACAACAGTATCAACATCAATAACCCCATGGCCACAACTAAATACTTACGTTTTGTAAAGTTTTTCAATTTTTCCATAGAGTTTTTGTCGTGTTTGTAAATGTTCTCTGGTGTGAATGTCTTGCAGTATTTTTGCTAAATTATCATTTTGCAAATGTGCTCGATGGTCAGCAGTACTGCGACGTCGTCTACGTTTACCAAATATCGGGTAGATACGATGCTTTGGTGGTTTATTTAAAATTTTACGATTTCTGCCTGTGCGTTTGCTATACATGGGTGTTTGGTAATTATGAGGACTGTTGCGAAATGAAAACAAAAGGAGAAAATGTTAGAAATAAATTAGAAAATTCTATGGGTGATAAAAATATGTATGCTTGAGTTTAAAACACAGTTGTGACTAAAAGTGTAGCACCATGACAAGTATTTGGATGAGTAAAGTGCTCTTATGCTGTAATTATTTTTATTCAAAACTGTTTGATGGATGAATGCATGTGAATTGTTTTTACTTTTCTTGATACTGCGACCATTTCTGTTGGTTTTCCTGCCAATGTTTTTCGATGCGGTTTTTGTTGCGCTCCCACCAGTTGTCTTTATTCCAGTAATCGCCCGCATCAGCATCATGGTATGGAAATTTCGTCTGCTGCTGCTGCTTCTTTGGTTGCCAATTTTCAGCATTCCATTGGTTGGTTGGGTGATGAGCCTGGTAGTAGTTGTTTTTGTTTGGCTGGCTTGCAAAATCATTTCGGTAGATTGGCCGTTCTCTATTGTCGTTGGCGTAAAAAGTTTTTCTTTGATTCGAATCAAACGCTTCGAAATTGTAGTTGTGCCACTGTTGTTGCTGCTGTGGATGCTGGCTGTAGAAAAATGTTGTTGATGTTGGTGGTTGTTGGAATTTCTCTCGCTGGCGGTAGTTGTTGTAATATAAATTACTTGAAGATGATGATGGTGGTGGTGGTAGTGGAAGAGGTGGCTTTGGTGCGTTCGTTAAAAATTGTTCATGTCCGGATGTGGTTGCAACTGTTGCTGACAGTTGGTGATGCTGCTGATACTGTGGATAGTGTTGGTTGTATATGCCTGCAGTGCCTACTGCAATGCCTTCTTCCCACCTTTTATTGTCTACTACGGCCTCCTGTTCCATTCTCTGGCTATCAATGTACTTGAGTTGTTGCTGTGTAGAATCGTTGCGTCTGCTGAGACCAAATGTACCATCGTTAAGTTTTGTGCGGAAATTCTCAATTATCTCACTAGGCGGTTTGCTTGGTAATTCCCAGGCTACTGCACATGTTATGCCCATAATGGCGAAGTTAGTGTAATCCACAATCGGTATGATGAGATCAAAAACTGAAATATTAAAAGTTAAATGAATTAAAAGATGTGTGAAAGTTGTGACAAGACATTACAGGATAGGAAAAGAAAATGTAAAATAAGAACTTGTATATGTATGTATGTAATTTACAACGAAAGGAAGGGGATGAAAATGATAAAGGAAAATAATGTTTATGATTTTAATTTGTGATAAGATGAAAAATTATTTATATTTGTAATTGTTTTTAGGTTTGAGACTGAAGGCCTAAACCGTATTAAATTCCAACTCCTATCACTACCGCTGTAATATTTATAATATTGTTAGTAGTAGAACTGATACTTCCGCTATACATTTTTTACTAACTAGTATATGGGCAATTCCATACGATTGTATGTGACATTCGTACGCCTTCAGACTGGTATAGATTTTGTAAAATTAGGAGTACTTGAAAAACAATTTTGTAATTCTGTTCCATTTAAAGAATACTATATTTGCAAAAGGAATCATCCCATTCTGAACCTTGTTTTCCAAAATATGGATTAAAATATGGCGCTATCATACGTGACAAAAAACGGAAGAGTTTTTAAAGTACATGTAAATATTTACGAAAATCTGCGAATTCTGTAGGTGTATCTTTTTTGTTTTAATTTCTTACACTATTCGACATATTTTTCATTAGTAATCCATAATTTTTAAATAAAAAAAATTAATATAATTTTATAATAAACATTTTTAAATATTGTACGTGACATATCGTATGTGACAGATTTTCCCCTGTTTTTTTTAGGTTATAAAATATATATTTTGGAAATATATGCATGCACACATTTCAACAAATCAAAAGGAGTAGGAAAGTGCAGTCGGACATGGCCGACCTATATACATGTTTAAGCAATTTATAGATAAAAATAAAATACTGGAGTTATATGGCGACTAGGGTCAAATATGGACCGATCTTCATAAAATTTTAGGGTGTGATTTTAATTCATATAAAACTTATTTGTGCCAAATTCTATCATAATACTAGTGATTAGGAGTGAGTTACGGACGTTTAAGTGTTTTTCTGAAATTAAACATTGAATGGAACTAGGCTCAAATGAGGTCCAATCGTTATGAAAGTCGGCATAATGGTATTATAATTAACAGAATTATGAACTAAAATGTGATATTTCGATTTCAAAAATTTTCAACAGTCTTCGTCTTTGGTGCTACAAAAGATCATATACCAAATTTTGTTGAATTGTCTTCAAAAATGCAGAAGTTATAAGGGTTTTATTTTTTCAGTCGTGGTTTACCTTTTCATGGAATTGCCCATACGCAAAATCGTTTGCATATAATAATTTATAATTATAATTTTGTTACTGGGTGACCAGGTAGACTAGTTGGTAGTGTGCTAGCTTATCAGTCTGGGGGTTGGATATTAATATTTTTGTGTCACGTCTAGATTTGTAATAAAATTAATATAAATATTAAAAACACTTCTACATTTAGTGGTCAATTTCAATCACTCAATCAAGTTTGCAATTACAATATAAAACATTGTACTATATTGAATATGAAATATTAATAAAAATTAGGTATGTATTTATGTATGGATGGATATATTTACGTATTCTGACCTACCGTTTAGGAGGAGGAGGAATACGGTAGATTGGATTATCAATTTGTTTCACTCACCTAACTGGAATGAACTGCCTTCGGGAAATAATAAATAGCGTTTATTTCGATGAAGTAGTAATTTTTCATTTTTTGTACGCGTCAGAGATTCATGCAATTCAACACGTTCAAAATATGACGAAGACGATGCTGATGATGTGGAGTTTGTTGATTCTGTAGCTGATGCTGTTGCTCTCGATGACGACGATGAGGTCGAGGACGAAGACATGGTTGATGATTTGACAAGTTTTATGTCAGACAATAACGGTGTTGGTTGTTTTGGGATGTTGTAGAAATTATTTTCTTGATTGCTTTTATTAATTCCATAATGAAAATCATTATGAATTTTAATATTCTCCTCAAGAACAAAACGACGAATGCCGTCTTCGTCAGCACTTTCATGTTTCTTCAATTCAGTTTGCGTTAATTGCCAAGAAGGTGTGTCAAATGCTCTTGCTGCTGTGTAATATGGCAATGGATGACTTGTTAAGGTGACATTTTTATCCCTGTTTAATGAATTTCTTAAAATATTTGAACTATTATCGAGCACAAATTCTTTTATTGTTGCCTTCTGAATTTTATCAGACAATGATGATTTAGCTCTGTTGAAGGGCTGTAGGGCACATATGGGCAACACAAACCATCCACACATCATAAGGATTACGTATATGATGAGTAAATTTGAAATGCTTGTGTTTATCATGTTGTGGTTTTATTTTCTATTTTTTTTTATTTTATTTTTGGTTTTACTTTAGTGACAACAAATAAGTATTTTTAATTAAAATTATATTACACATTATTATTTATTGTGTTTTATTATATTTTTTTATTATTTATCTCGTTAAAATATGCACAAATACTCGCGTATTAATTCACTTTTCACAATTTTTATTATTTATTAATATAAGCATAAAAAAGAAAAAACAATTTATTATTTTTTTTTTTCGTATTCAATGATATGAAATGTAATCTCACAATTATTGTACACTACTAATCAACCGTAAAATTAATGCAATTTTTATATAGAGCAGCAATGCTTTAAAATCCTAAGTCTTGCGTTCTTCCAAAGTTAATGGCAATAATTTGGACTATAATATAAATAGAAAAATCACACACCCACTCGTATACGAACAATGGTACTTAAAACTGCCAGCTGTTGTAATGATTTTATTTGGCTGATTATAGTTAAACTCTAAATGTTGCGCTGGCCATAAAAACTAAGTACCCAATAAAAGATGAGAAAATAAACACTAAATACGAAATATTTCTATATAAAAACTTCGTTCTCTTCAGTCGTCCAGACTGTTCTATGAGTGAGAAAGTGAGTGTGAGTAAAATAAATTCATTGTCCCTTTGGATTGAATAACGTTAACAACAACTACATCAATTTATCGATTATAATCTCAAGATACATAATTGCCATTAAATAGTTTAAAAATAATAACAATACAAAATATTAACATATTGTTTATTTGAATATTCAAATTAGTCCAAATACTGTGGCAGACAAAAATGTTACATTCAAACATACATATACATATTTCACAAGTTCAATATGAATTGCAAAGCATTTTCTAGGGTAACCGTGTTTCTTTTCCCCAGACTTCACTGAGACTTAAAAATGTTTCATTTCATGGAAATTTGCACAGTTTTTCTCTTTCGCTATAAAGTTAAACGGTATTTGAATACCGGTATTTAATTCGAAAAACTTATTTAGTTATCGGTTACAAAATGTTTCTTTTTTTAATCAAATGAAAATTTTGACACTCACTGTATTTCAATAAATACTCGTTTTTCAACAGACATGTGTTAAAACGGTAAATATAATTTTTAAATCGTTTAATAGTCGTATTAACACGTCATTGTCAAATATTTTGTTCACAATAATAACATTAAAATTTATTCAAATAAAGAGAGAAGGGCCTGCAAGATTCGAAACTATCAGATCATGTCGATATTATTAAATTTGTTTTTTTTTTTAACTTACCTAAGTATGCATTTGCATCTGCTATGGCTTTCTAGATTATGAGTTTCAGTGCAACAGAAGTTTAGGTATAGTTTTTAATAAATTTTTGTTTTTAATAAACAGTGACAGTGAAACAATTATGTAAATAATTCGGTAAATTTGGAGGTCTTTTCAAGTTGATTAACAGTTGTAGGCTGAATGGGGGACAGTAAGTGGTCCCTCAAAGTTGGTCATCTTCAGTTTCACATATTTTTTAAATCGACAAAATCCATTTTATGAACAGAATGAGTTGAAATTTTAATTTAAAATTTAATGATCTACAAAAAAAATGATCTGTTGATACACGTAAAAAAGCCGTATTTAATTTTCTCCCGGACTATAAAAAAAAAACTTACATTGAAAAGTATTGAGTTAAAAGGCTAAAAAAGACGCTTTTCACTACGCTTACACTCATTATCATCGGTATCATTTTAACTCATTATTTTAACACGGTGATGGCATTGGTGGAAATTACCTTACTACACTCGCTTAAAAAATCATTACTTAAATAATTACTTACAAATATGTTGTTTTGTTTTAAAAACAAAAAAATCGCTCAGACAGAATACGAACCTGGACTTCTTGTTCGTTAATTCGCTGTCTTACGCACAACATCACTGCTTAGTTATATTGTGTGCCTAATAATGGATTTAACAAAGGAACACAATTTGCTTTGTGTGTGTGTGTGTAAAAAACAGTTGCCAAGGCGCGAACCAATAAAAAGTGCAAATAAAACTGCAAAACTCAAAATAAAGTACTTACGTATCTGATTATATGTAAGTCATTATAAGCGTACTTAAAAGTACATACGGCATGTAGTAGTCATTGAAATGTAAGTAGTTATATAAGTACGAGTCATTAATGAGTTTTTGCTGACAATTTTTATATGATGCGAAAATATAACTTAATACATAAGTGTGCAGCATAAAATTTGTCTGTTTTAAGCGGACTCTGCAAAGCAACATAATTTTACATTTTATAAATTTATCATTAAAGCTCTCAATCATTTTGTAGATTATCATGTAAACCTATTATTATCATTATATTAATAACAGTTGTTGTTGGTTGTACTTCATGTACTACTAATGTATTTGTTATCCTTCTTATTTATAACAGTTTCATATATGGGTGATTTCATGTCAAGTGACCACTCTGTTGGATAGTAGATTACACACAGATTTTCAATAAGATTGGTCAAGAATTCTCTGAATTGCAGTGGGTCAAAATTTGACATTTTTGCAAAACATGTGCTTCTTCTCATCTATGTAACTTATTACCTATTGTTCACAAGAAAATTTGTTCCAAATAGTTTAGATAGCAATTTCTTCAATCACTCGGAAAACAATATTTCAAAAAATTAAAAGAATTTAACTTTTTATATTTTTTTTTTCAATTTGGGCCCTTTGTGTCTAAACTACTGTCCAATAGGACTTACATTGCTTCAAATTTCATCCCGATCGGAAGATCGGGTTCAAAAGTTGTTTCCATTGACGTGAAATCCACCATATGTATTTAGGTAAGTATGGTTGAACAAACAGACGAATGTATGACTTCATGAGTGGTCGCCAGGGTTTATGAACATTGCGTTAATGTATCGTTTTCTGCTGAAAGTACCTCTCCATTATAATTATTTTGTATAACAGATAATTTATTAATTTCATTCGAACATTGGAATGTGGTTGATGGTGTTATAATTCAAAATTGATGCTTGTCATCAGTAGGCAGGCATTAAAATTTTTTTAACAATTGCAAAAGGCAAATAGATTGCTAAAAATTTTTGGTTGTGGCGAATCTTAAACAAATATGCTTCAACTTTATATAGAAACGTTTTTTTGTGATATTTCTAATTAATCAATAAAATATCAAAACAGTTCTGGAGACAACTTTATTCGGAATCTTTATGGATCTTTCACAAAGAAATCTAATGGAGTTATTTATTTCGTTTTTGGCCTTTACATAAGAATTTTTAGAAATATACCGTAGGGTGTATAAATTCTAAAATCCCATAATATAGAATATACACACTAAACTTTACTATGGACATAAATCGATATAACATATAGTGGAACTAAGTACGTTTAACACAATGACAATGTCCTGTCATGTCATTTATTATAATCCTAAATACATTTTACAGCTCTATCTAAGTATCTATCGATTGTGACAAATTTCATAAGCAAATGTGTGTAATAATAAATTTGCATATTGTTGGGGATTTTGTATATAACAGACAACAAACAAGCAAACAAATGATATGAAATGGCAAAAATTTAAAAATTTTATGTAAATTTATAATTTCTGTGTTACACTTGAAATGGGCAGGTGTCTGTAGAAAGTCAACTAATTAATAAATATTATTGAGTAGAGATGACTGGATGACTGTATGAATGATAAATTCAAGTTATAAAATTAACAAATTGAATCGAAAACAACAAACACAACATTTTGTTTGTGTAATAAATCTAACAGAGTAATTAATTTCAATGTCTAATATGAGATGAATTTTAAACATTGACGTTTTGAAGATTTATTGAAATGCACATGTTTAAACGCATGCATATATGCGTATGTGTAGATTTGTACATAAGTAAAAACATATGTATATTATAGTATATATGTATGTATACAACCACACATTTGCATATTCGCTAACACAATCATACTATTTATAAGAATTTATATTGAAATGTAATGAATCAATGGTGGCGAGTCAAAATTGATGTGCAAGATGAATTCGTAGAACATTTCAATATTTATTGTGATTGGTTGTGTTGATGTGATTTCATATTGATTTGTTATAATTGAAGTATTGAATTTAATATTATGCATTTTGTTTGCTTGTTTAAATTTTAAACAAATTCATTTACAAGAAAATTCTTATTAATTAGATTTGAATGACTTTAATTAAATCGAAAATAATTAGATATTAGCATATACATTTATAAACTATTACTTTTATATTTTTAATCATCATATAAACAATAATTATTTTTATTTCAAATATCAAATGTTCGTTTCATTCCTGAGATCCAAAAGCAAAAAAAAAAAAACGTTAAAAAATGGTCATATACTGCATAGATATGAGACATCGGAAATTTCAATTTGAATTTTATTATAATTTGTACTCTTTCTAATATTTTCTTGTAGAATGAAAGTTTATCAAAATCATCACGATTTACGTAGCAAATAAAAATAACACACATTTGTACATTGTACATTAATAATTCTAGATTCTTGTTTTCAATTTAAAACCAAAGTAGGGCACTTTCATGTTGAATTAATTAACAGTTTTAGAACTTGGAACCGTTACTACGAACGATTTAATGAATATTCACACCTGGGTGTTAACTTGTGATTCACAATAAATGATTTTGACCGTAACGGACTGACCGTTTGTTTTATTAAGTATTTGATTTAAAATTAACGGAATATTTGTTTAAATCGTAACAATATTTGTGTTTAATTTTTTGAAAATGTACAAATATACATAAATATTTATATAAGTGTCTGTATGAGTCGGTGTTTTGCAAATAATGGATTTTTTAATGTTTAAAATAATTTGAAATGAGTAATCACTTCTTATACATGAATATTAATCATCTCGCTCATTTGTTGTACTAAAATACTATAACTCAAAAAAAAATCGTTTCGAGTGAATATTTTATGATATTTTACTATTTTTTAAATAATTTTTACACAGTCTTGTAGTGAATCAGAGATATGTTATGAAAATATATTATAAATATGGTATAACGCTATAATTTTTGTGCTTAATTTTGTAAATTTAAAAATCATTGCTTAAGTTAAGAATAAATTTACTTCAGTTTCGAAAATAAATGTAAGTCTAGTTTTCATTATGAACTTATGAATGCATACGAGTAAAAGTAATTTACACATTTTCCATTTGGAGTATTTCTGTTTACTTCTTAAATTGTCAACAAATTGTCAAATGTCAATAGAAATATAGAACATTTATTTTTCCACATAACTTTCAGCTTAGTTTTTCAAGTCGTGGAGGAAGTAAAGTAGGTTGACTTTATTATAAACATATACATATGTATATAAATATTTACAAATATGCGATAACGTAAATATGTACATATGTACGTGTTTATATAAATAATTTTTTTATTTATATTCAGATTAATAAAAGAGTTATTTCATGGTCTTCAGTTTATTCCATCGCTATCTTGCATAATATAATGTAATATTATGGGCGATCAATTTGCTATTTTTATCCCGCTTGCAATGTACATACTTACATATAGGGTGGGCCACCTTTACCATTTGTATGGTACTTATCTATTTGGTGAATGTACATACATATATCTTTGTTAGTCTTGATTTCATTCTTTAATATGCATGATAAAATATGAACATACTTCAATACTCGTACTTCATAATTTTATAGATATGCTGTTGTAAATCCAATAACGATTTAAAGTAAATTTTAAAAATATTAAATCATTACTATTCTTAAACTTTTTGATCATCTTCAGAATTTATACAAATTTTCGTATAAAAAACTATTAGAATTAGAAATTTATAAATATTTCTCGTTCTCACAAAGATTTTAATCGTTTACTTTTAAGCATTTACAAATGAATTTGGGAGTTAATCACAACCAAATCGATATTCTAGCATTTCATTTAAAACTAGTACTGGATCTTAAACGTTAAAATAAAATTTTATTTTAATTTGAGAAGCAATTGCAGCCGTAGCGATGGTTTGAGGTGTATAATTTGAATATTAACTAAATTTTACTGATGTGACAATCATGATGACATAAAGACACAGTTAATAAGATACACATACATACTAGAGAACATCTACTGATACGCAAATGAGAAAAATAAATAAAAATCAAAGAAAAATAAATATTAATAAATGAATTTGTATGTAAGTACATAAATATACATACATACATACATGCATACATATGTATGTATGTAAATTTATTCTTGTGGATAAAAAGACATTAAAGACAATTTATTTTACTTAAAGTGCAGAAGAGAAAAAAGTCTACGAATAAAACATTAACAATACTCAACAACTAGTGTTAACAACCTTTAATCCACTGGAAGGAATTAAATGAAAAAAAAAGAAACAAAATCAGAAGCCGGGAAAGAACTGTAAAGTGTGTCCTGAAAAATGAGTGGCAAAAAAGAAATATAAGGAATGAGAAATGAGAGTGTGAAATGAAAAGAACCGTTCGTGGATAGCGCATAATAAATTCATTTTATTGTCTTATTTTATTGCAAAATTAATTGTTAAGACCGTAGAAGGAAGTCAAACTATAAATTTTAAATAATTTATTGCAAACGCACAAAACACACGAAAAACAATTAAAAATTTATTCGAGTAACCAACCGTTACATTCATGTTCGTAGATGCGAGTTAAAGAATTTTTTTATTAATTAGTATAAATAGGAAATGAAAATGCAATTATTTTGGTTGAATTTGTTTGTCTTATTTGTTTTTATATTACCCGAACAATTTAATGCGGATGCTCAACAGTTGTCTTCCGAGTATGAAAAACACACAAATGAAACTGATAGCAAAAACTTGCCCACTTTGAAGAGAGGGAAACGTTATTTAGATTTTACCAAAGGGTCTCGTATGTCGGTAAGTTCAAAATTTTATAAATTATTGCTAGTGTATATAATAATGTATAGATGTTCCGTTTATTTTATAGTGGCGGACCACAGTTAAAAACAACATTCTAAAAGTGAACACATTGTGGGGTTATGGTTTTGGTTTTCGTGCCAATTTTCCATTTCCAGACAAGGCCGATCGTAGGAGACCATTTTTTAAAAGAGATGTCTTTCAATCATTAACCGATGTTCTAGATGGGTAAGATCAAGTTTATCCAAATATTGTCTAAACTGTATTTTACTGCATATTTCCATTGTTTTAGTAATGGTCTGGATGGGCAGGCTTGTATATTAAAGTCATTTTGTACCGCCCATTTGGATGGTGAGAGTGAATTCAGTAGCGGCATGCTGTTTAAACTTTTAAAATATATATTTACGTAAGTTGAACAAATGAATGCAATTAATTTAAAATTTTATTGATAATTTTTTAAATTTTAAAATTTTTCGAAATACATTAGGAAATTAAAAAATAATTAATTACATACATATACACATACATAGACATAATAAAAAAACAATACGAATTTGACATAAAATGTAAATGTCATACAACTACATGTGTAAATTTAATTCTGTAGGAAAGCAAGTAGTAAGAAAATGAGAAATTTTGTAGTGTTTTCGTAAAAATTATTAAAGTCTGGAAGATAAAGTTGAATATTTTTTTTATTAAGAGTTACTGATGTTTTTTTTTTTAAGTTAACAAGTTCACTTTTATTATTCGTACAAAAATCTCATGTTTCACAAAAATTGTATAATAAAGAAAGTTTTCTGCTTTTTTCAAAACTCTCAGATTTTTATCAATTTTTAAAGTGATAAAAAACTAAATCTAATAAATTTAGTGAAAACAACCCATGTTGTCAATAAAATAAACAATATTTTATTAAGTTCTCCACATACGTATAAACATATGTTGATACTTAAAGTTTTCCTAATGAAAATAAAAACTATGAAAATATGTGAAATTAAAATAAAAGAAAACACCTTAAAATGTCCTTTTCGACCAATGGATGTGTGTTAGTTGTCGTAGTTGTATTGGTTACAAGTTCGCACACCACAACAAGTTTAGTTAGAACTTCCTTGTTAGTTATAAAAGAACAGGCTAGATATTGGAATAATAATAGGGATAAGGATATTGCACTTATTTCCGCTAACGGAAACCTTTTAAATGACAACAGACTTACAACAACACAAATTCAATAACTGTATCTGGGGGAAGATATATTTGAATTTTCTAAATAATAGTCACATGTTTTTTGAATCCTTAAAAAGTGTCAAAGTAAAAAAAAAATTTGTGATGATGATATAATGTTTAGAACTTAGCTTTTTTTGATTAATTTTTTAATAAATTAATAAATATATAATTTTAATACTATTTTCTTTTAATTTCAGTTTAAATGATGATGACAAGCGACATTTTCCCTATTTAAAACATGAGAACTGCCATCAAATACTTCACAGTCATTGTCCTCTAAGTTTTAATAATATATCACCATTTACAGATGATGTATAGTAGAATTAGATTATGTTTTAATTAAAGAAATTAAATTAAGAAATATTTTTAAACGAATTTTATTTATTTTGGTTTGTATTCCTTGTCGATTTGAATTCAAATTTTGTTTTAAAATTTTAATGAAAACACGTGCATGTCCTTCAATTTGTATTATTAATAATCAATAATAGCAATGTGTTGTAATAACTTTGTAAAATAAAAACAAACATAAAAAAATGATTGAGTACTCGAGAAGGTATTAATTTTCAACAACTATGTTTGTTGTTCACATTAAAATTTCATTATACTTTCACAACATAAACTCTACAAAACCGCACAACGATAAAATGTCAACGATTAACTACGGCGTAAAACTTTTATTAGACAAACGTATTTATTAGATATTTGACTGAATGTTGTATACAACTACATTAATAAAGATACATACATATGTACATTATAATATTGAATTTAGGTGCGTAGTATAAACGTAATTGTGGTTTCGTCAAAATTCAAATAAAGTTTTTACATTTTACATAATGTTGAAAATTATTTGAAATTAATTTGTCATTATGAATTACATTAAACAAACAATCTACGCAAACCAAAATCACCAAATCAAATTATTCTAAAACTAAACTATTTAGATTAAAATAAGATAATTTAATATTAATACCAGAAACCACTCGTACAATACCGCATTAATCAAGAGCGATTCAAAAGAAATGTTTACAATAATTTTAGAATTCGTACTTTTTATTTTTAGAATGATTGTGAAATTTGACAGAATTACAAAAATATTTTTAATATAAAATTTAATGTTTAGTATAGTATCCAAGGGGAGGGGTAGAATATTTGCCAAATGCTAATTCCAATAATGAAAAATCACAATCGTACTGTTCCGAACAGTCACTGATAGAACGAGCTCTCCTATAGGCACCATCATATAACTCGATGTCTGGATTTTCACTTAATTCCCGCGTAAATATACGCTGTTTGGGTAGACTGCAATGTTTTGTAACGTATTATTTATACATTTTACTAAGAACAAAAAGGTAATCATAAAACATACCTAAAAATAACTTTTAACATTTCTCCAATCATGCCCATTTTGGTTTTTTGAAAATATTGCCGACTTTCGCATAAAGCTCTCAATATGCAGTCGCGTCCATTATATCCCATGCTAAATTTGAAAAACAAAATAAAGATAAAATATGAATTTACAAAGGAAACTTAATTTGTTGAACATTGGCTCACTTATCAACTACATTTTCAATTTCTTTATATAAAGAGCGCCTCGATCGTCTGTGCCATACGGCCACAGGTATAGGCCTTTTGGCAAAACCATGCAAATGGTTAAGAATCCATGTGGTATTGGGCAAGTCATATGCTACACCCCAATTTAGGCCAAAGCTCATATAGTTGTATCTGGGATTACCAATAATGCCCACAGTAAAACAAACAGCAACCTAAAGAACAACCAGAAATACAAAGAAAAAAGAGAAACATAGTAACAACAATGTATGGATGCAATGGACAAAGAAATTAACGCACTAATTGGCAAATTCTTGCTTCAGATTTCCTTTTCATGAGAGCATTTCCAGGTTAAAAGAACTAAAACAATAACAACTTAAAATTTCACCTGGTGAAGATGGAGTTTTAAATGTTGGACAATCAAAGTTGGCTTAAAACCTGAAATATGTATGTGTGTGTTTGGGGAAAACGAAATTCAACCACTCACCACATACGTATAAATATGTACATTGTATGTATGTATGCGTACGTAAAAACTTTTATATCTACCCACAACCATCGGCACTTAAGTCTTTAGAAACATACGGAAAATGATGATCCTTCCGGAAATGAAAGATAACGTTTTGGACGAGAAAGTAAACGTTGCTGCTTCTGCAATAATAATGATGGTGATGTTGTTGTTGATGATGACAATAATATTGGAGACAAAGATGAGGTTGCTGATGTTGAAGACAGCGAGGATGGGTTTGATACATTAGACATGGCTGTTTTAGCCATATTTGAACTTGTTTTTGTATTTGTCATCATGTCTGCGGTTGCCATGACTGTTATTAGTTGTGTTGTAGTTGCATAAGTCCTGTTATTGCTGCTGATGTTTTTGGTTGCAGATGTGGTAATGTTGGTGGCACACGTTTTACTGACACAGTTGGTAGTTCTTCTACGAGAACAATTTTTCAATGATAGTGATAATAAATCATTATCGTCAGTGTGCATTTTACGTTGCAATGTGTCAAATATGATTTGATTTTTACTAAAGAAATTTCCATCAAAATTGTTTATTGCTAAAACATCGTTGTCACCGACAACATGTGGTATTACAAATGTTGAACAATTCTCGCTTGCTGACGCATTTAAGGTAGTTTTAAGTTTTGCAGCATCTCCATAAACTACTGGTATGATCATCAATATCTTAATTAAACAAAATCTATTTAATTTGTTTAATAAAAAGTTAAACAATGACGACGAGTGAATATTGTGGTGTGACATGTTGCAAGTGCGGCAACAACAGTTTAATGAAAATTTAATAAATTCATGAACAACACGAAATGAAGTGTGAGTGAGTGTTGTTTGCTTGTTTGCACTTTGTACAATTGTTTTAATTTTCTACTCAAATCGTATTTTAAGCCAAAAATGTACGTGAGAATGTAAAAGTATTTATGTGCATGATGTATTGAACTCTTAATTAAATTGTATAGAAGAGAATAGAATGGAATAGAAAATGTGCGAGAGAAAGAGTAAGTAAATAAATAAATAAATGAATGAATGAATGAATGAATGAATGAATGAATGAATGAACAAATGAATGTTTTGTGAAAACGACATGTAAATGCATTGTGTTGAAGCTTCAATATTTTGTTGCAAAAATTTGTGTTTGTGTTAAAGTTTTTTTTGTGGTAGAGTTTGTTATTGAAATGTAATGTTTCTGGTTGTATACGTTGAAATTGTACACAAATTCTTGCAATAGGTGTCATAATTAACAAGTCTGCAGCCAACGTTAATGTGCAATTACACATAAAAACATCTTACTTCCACAAAGAAAACAATTGCAACGAAGATGCAAAATACACTTGAGTCGAGAATAGATTTACTAAAATAGTTATAAATTTCATATTCAGACGTACAATTAGTTTTCTGGTTTATTGCTTTGGGTAAAAAAGGTCATTGTTTCTATCAAAATCCAACATATTTGTCCCAATAGTTCGACAAGGAATCAATACATCCGTAAAATATAATAATTTTCACTAATCTGCAACCACTTGGTTGACTCTTTCGTCCCGAATGTACACTTTGTAATGCAGAGACAAGAGAGTTGTTACTTTTCTGTTGACATTTGACTTCGATCTAAGAGAAGACGTTGTTGAAATTTCTAGTCACCAAATTGGCCCATTTTGGTAGGTAAAATAAGTAGTTTCGGATTGCCTACCCGTGCCTGAGGCAATTGTATCATTCTTACACAAATATTTACATATGTAATGTATGTGAAATAGAAACACATTTACATCTTTAAACCGCATAAGATTTGAATGCAACAAGAAAACGTCATGATAGTTGACATGTAACAATTGTTATCATATTGTCATATTGGTTCCATAATGCATTTCTAAGTAGCAAACATGTCTTGAGTACATAGAAACATGTATGTATTTGTGTGTACGATTTTACATGCAGCATATACGTATGTATGTATTTTAGGGTGGCTCCAAAATAGAGTTGCTGATGTTCCCATCGAAAATAAATTTTTTTCCTGACTCCAATATTAGTGGGCTGGATTAAAGGAAAAATGTCCTTTTTTAAGGGTTTTGACGCCAATACAAAAAATTTGAGAAACGGTATCTTAGAATCTATTAAACTTTCACTTTAAATGGAAACATTGACACCTAAACATTGACGGCATTTAAAGAGCAATTCTAGCACTTTTTTCGTCGGCTGCACTTATTTTTTTAGAAAAAAGTGTTAGATGCTTTTTAGCACTTTTTCGTCTGTTGCTAGAAATTTTTAGCATTAAAAGTGCATTTTATTTTCGGAATACGATCTTAATGGTTTGGATCACGGACCGAGCTCTAAGAAGGATGTTTTAAAACAAATAATTTTTTCGAATGTATCACAATACTAAAATGTTTTAATAATTTATTGAGAATAAATTTATTTTCTGAAAGAGGATTTATATAGAGGAGAAATTACAAACTTGCGTATTTGAATATAACCCTCATAATTCATTTGTCATATTAACATTTATATTGTTTCCTAAAAGCTCTTGGAAGTATGAGTAATAAACCTGACATCTATTCACCTAGATTTAAGATTATTTCAACTGAATTTTCAATATTTTTGCTAAATTGTTGTGAATAAGACCCATAAAATAGTTTATATAAAAAATAACTAAAACTATAAATATAAAATTTTTTCTTCCGAATTGAACCCTTTTTTAGCATTTTTTTTAATGAATAATTAAAAGATTTTTTTTCTGGTCTTAGACGTCCTAAACAAAGAAAACCATATAGGTTTTATATCCTAAACAAAATCGTTGTTATCTAGTGTTATTAGTTATTTAAATACATATACATATGTATATACTTATTCTTAGGGGCATTAATGAAATTTTACCTTGTACCTTACCCTTTGCGATTTTGATAAAACTTGGTACACACATTCTTTGTATCAATACGAAGTTTAAAGTTCTCCAAAATTTCCAAATTCATTACATTTTAGATTTTATCAAGGTTCAAAGTTCAAATTTTTTAAGATTTTTTTCAACAAGCATTAAATTTGACATCGTATATTTTCTAAAATATTTATCGTTTTAGTTCCTAATTAAAACCTATGTCTTGCAGTTTGAAAATATTTCAGTTTTACGTAAGGATGATGACATCAAACAACGTCCTTTAATCAAGGATATCTTTATTCCTTCACATAAGATTGCTTATAGTGTTTTCAATAAAATATAAAAATTTCAGAATGAAACAATGAGGGGATCTCAAGTAAATTAACTTTTAGTAAAATAATCCATATCATTTCCATACAAATTTCAAAAATTTTAATTTTTTGTTCATAAACAATTTAATTTTTGTTTCAAATTCTTAAACTTTTTTGTGTTCATCGTCAAATAAAATATTAAATTTTTAAATATCTTGAATATTATCAAGCTACAAGACATATGCATTAATTGGGAACTAAAACGATTAAAATCGGATTAGCAGTTCAGAAAATATACGATGTAAAATTTAATGCTTGTTGAAAAAAAATCCAAAAAAAATATGAACTTTAAACATCGATAAAATCTGGACCGTAACGAATTTGAAAATTTTGGAGAACTTTAAATTCTTTATTTACATGAAGAATGTGTGTACCAAATTTCATCGAAATCGGGGAGGGTCATGTTCAAAATCCTACTTTTTGTTCGAATTTTTTTTTAAATTACCCCTTATGGATTTTGTAAAGGAATATATATATATATAGGCAAGGTCAAATCATGGACCAATTTGAAATAGTTTTTTGCATTTTCGTTGAATTATGTGAAAAATTTCGACCTGTACATTATACCTGGACAGCCAGCCGAACAGACGGGTAAACATGGCTTAATGGACTTTTAAAAACTTGATTTGAATTTAGCACTTTTTTAAACGAATTTGCACTTTTTTGACCGTTATTTTTGACTTTATTCTGAGGGAGTTCTGGCAACACTGCACCTAATACACAAAATAATATATATGTATGTTGGCATGTTTATAATACAACTTCATACATATACAAAAGTTTACATATCGTATGTACATAATAGAATACGAAGCCAGATTTGTATTTATATGTACATTACACTTCATTACGTTTGCTTAAGTTTAGTGTTAGCATCTCATGGAATTTGATATGATAACCTCTGTTGATAGCCCTCGCACTTTTGCAAGACAGGCGAAAAAGGATTTGCACATTTGCATTATTAACAAAGTAACAAACTTGTACGCACTTCTGCGTAAGTAATTGTAAGTATGTATACTTTCAAAGGTTTGTTGATAATCATGCATTCTAATTCGAATTCCATCTAGTACTTGCAATATTTAAGATTTCTCTTAAAATTGTGTTGTTTACCTAAAGGTAAACATATTTCAAATATAAAAATCATTAAAGTTTATTATGTTGATATTTGGAGATTTTTAGGTTCTTTGTTGGTGTTTGAGTGTGTGCGCATATATGAATGAGTTTGTCTACACAACACATTGATGCAATCATTCATTCATTCTTTCATTCATTTGCGTGAATTTGCATTGAATTTTGAATACAAACTCAATCTCTGATGATGACATCAACGAAGCCAATGACACAAGCAACAAAATCAAAAACAATACAAGAGTGGCAATTGAACTTAATTGAGTTGCCAGTGTCAGAAATTTCGTTTGTTACATTTTACATGAAGAGTCCTTTCAATGTAGTTTGATTGATATGATTTGTCATTTTCTATAAACAATTGTTAAATTGCATATGTCTCATACAGGTGGACAACCGACAACAATTCAAAATTTAAACCTAAAACCGAAACATAAACATAAATTGAGTTACATATTTCAAAAACAAATACTGCATACTAAAGTTATTAAAGATTTGTTTACAACATGTACGTGGATGCATAGGTGGACGGAAATTCATATGATATTTCTATTAAATTGCTCGACTTTTGTCTAAAGCCACAAAATGTGTCTATTAAATGTTAAAGGGTTGACCATGAATTAAATTATTGCTATTTACTTAGCAAGAATGAAAACCATGAAAAGAAAGTGTTTAGTTTTTAAGACTAAAAATATGATTATTTCCGTTTGTTGGGTGTTTGTAAAATTCTAAGCTTTCTGTGGAAGGCATGATATGGCTCGGAGGAGAAGACTTAAAGGAAAACATTTAGAAAGACTTAGTATTGAAAATGGACAAAATTACAAAGGCTGTCAAATTTTTAATCCAGAGATTAAAGTACACCACATAAGGTTTTTCAGATATCGTGTCATAGAAGAAAACCCTGGTTAAACTAAATATGGCAAATACTTTTTTTCAAAATTCATGACAATATATTTTGAAAACCAATATTCGAATTCAGTGATGCTCTTAGAAAAGTATACTTTTGTCTGTGGGTTTTGTGCCTTTTCAAATTTTGTTGGCCTATGTAATTAACACGAATCTTTTAAGAAAAAGCTTGGAAGAATTGATTCTAGTTAGACTTAAATCACCCAAATGTTTATTTCCGAATGAATATTACAAACAGACCTATGAAACAGTTAGTTAGTTCCCTTATTTCATCATCGTGAAGTGTACTACAATAACAATGAAAATTTCACTATATTGTGTTGGCTTATATAGAATACACATCATGATTAAATTAAATAACCTCGAGGAATGACTTTATAAAAGAATGAAATGAAATAAATGAATAATATTCAGCGAAAATACTAAGAAAATTACATGTTACTTAACCTCAGGCGGGGTCAATTTCTATGGAAGTTAAAAAAAAAAATAAATCTATAATAGTTCAACTAAATACATACTTCAACAAATATACACACATTTTCGTTTATTATATTAATATTTACTTAAGCAGACTGTCATTTATTAATAATGATAAATAATTGTGCTTTGAATATAATATTTTTGAAAACAAATTAAATGTTAGAATATAAATTATAAATAATACAATATATCCTTAAGCCAGGCGAATTCCAGAACTATACGAGTGGTAAATTAAGGTCAAATAATATGCATATGTATTTACCATAGCTCCATTATATAATCATTATAGACGTAGATTATTATACACACTGTCGGAATTGCTCAAATTAACCTTTTCTTCTTTGGCTTCATAAATTTTGTTTCGGATATCTAATTGTGCATTTTCAGATTTTTTTATAAAGAATTTAATTTAAACAAATCGGATTATAAAAGTGTTTAGTTTACTTATAAAATCAAAAAGTCTAACTTCTTACGTTTTATTTTTTTTGAATATTTACAAGTTTCTGTTATAAATTGTATTTTACTTTTTTAATTACAAAACCACATTTTAATGTACTAATTACAAAATTAAAAATTACATTTTTATACAGTTTTTTTTTTTTGGTGAGAGATTGTTAAAACAAAGTGAAATATTTAAAATAAATATAAACACAAACACATGTAATTATTTTTATTTAATATTGGTGAATATAATACATATGATATACATATGTACATACATACATATGTGTGAATAGTATATGTATTATATTTATATTGAAAGTGTTGCCATTCCTATACAAATAGACCGCAAATAATTTTATGGAATTTGAATTTCTATAGATTTTGTAATTGTATTTGGTTATAACATATCATATTTTCGATTTCGTTGTAAATGGCAACATTGTTCTATATCAAGTTGTATCTATTGACCATAAAAACCACAACAAAGTAAAAAAAAAAATTAAAAAGATTATAGTAATTTTAAAGCAAATTTTTGTTTTGTTTGTGGAGAAAACAAAAACAACAAAAAAGGAACCCAATTTAAATGCCAATAAAATGTTGGCCAATATTTTATTGTAACAACCACATACAAATACACATATGTATACATATACTGGTACATATATACAATACATACAATACATATAAAAACACATTTCTATATTGATGTAGATATGTACACACATACATATATACATTAGGGTGGCTCTGTTTATAAATTTATTAGGATTCTAACATTGGAAATATATGACAAGTTTTGCTGATTTTCTCATAATTTAATTAAGAAATCATATACAATTTGGTCATAATTTACTTTAAATCAAATGAAATTACAACAAGAAAATTCAATCATGTCCTATGAAATGTATTCGTGTTCAGCCTAATATTCATACATATGGGCAATTTTGTGTCAAATGACTGAACTCAAAAAATCGATTTTGATGAAATTTACACCATGGTTAGTACTATAGGTCAAGCTCTATCGGTCAAGAACTGCCGGACTTAGAGGGAGTCAAAGTTGGACATTTGGGTCATACAGAGTTTTATTGAAATGAGTGTAACTTTGCACCTATTGGTCCCAGCAAAAATTGTGCAAAGGAGTTCAGATAGATATTTCTTCATTGTTTCCAATATTACTAACCTTGGTGCAAATTTCGTCAAAATCTATTTTTTGAGTTGGGTCACTTGACATGAAATTGCCCATATGTATGTTTAGAAAAATTATTCAACAATCAACTATACTGGTGTAAATAACAACAAACAAACAATAAATGCATATAATACATATTCATATGATATTTTGTTTGTTTGTATGTATGTATGTGTGTTGTTATTTGCATAAACCTGCACAAATATCATTTGCTAAATAAACATACCAATACGCATATAGAAATACACAGATACGTACATACTTTTGTATACAAGCATTTAAACATTTGGGAAATACATATTTTCTTGGTTGCACCACCCTGCAGCTTTGGGAACAACATCAAGAAAAAAATTGGAAATATTACAGCAATAATTTTAACAAGTAAAGAATCTGCTGTATATATATTTTATACGTTTGTTAATATAACTACGTCCTTTCAAATACAGCTATATAGAATCCAGATTACTTGAGACATATAAAAAAACCAATTCCGTGCTATTTAAGAGTGTATATGCATCTGACATATTATCGAAAAAAATAAAAAAGAGTCAACAGGATATTTAGACAACAAGTAGCAGTTCTAATAATACCTTGGCTCATACACTGACGGCTTCATACACTCACATTTACAACAACTCTTACGAATAAACACAAACAACTGCAGATTAAAATACAAATAGAAATAAAAGTCACTTGAGGCATCATTTCTATCATTTCATTTTTACTTTTTTGCTATTCATCCTTCCTTATGCTTATCACAACAAATTTATAAAGATTGTATTGAGAGTATCACTCACTCATGCACTTTCTCTCAATAGTTGTATGTCGATATATTAAATATATCGTTAACTAAAATGTTGAATACTCTTACTAGTACACACATTTTATTTTGAAAATATAAACATATTTGCAGAAAGGTATGGTGTTTCAAAGTTCACTTTGAAAGACTTCGGAATTTAAAGCGTGATCTGATCAATTAGAAGATTATGAAGATATGCTTAATGTGTTCCATTTAATCAGATCACAAATTACAGAGATTCATATTAATTCTTCTACATTGGGGGTTTCTCACACTGTGAGATCTTTAAATTATATTAAAAGTTTATATCCCTAAATTTTTGTTTGCTTCGCCAGGACTTTTAGCAATTTAGGTGACGATTTGTTTGTCTTTCAAGCCAAAAGGTAAATCTCACACTTTTATCACAGATAAAAATGAAAGCAAAACTATCATCTACAATCATATTAAAATAAATATGAAAACAACAATAACAGACAACAAAAACAGTAATAATATTTATGAAATTTCTGGCGCTTTAAGGGGACAAAAACTGAGGCCAACATCAACAATAAGAAAAAAGTATTTAAGTGCCTCATAACACAGAAAAAATTCAATACATATAAATGTACATACATACATACATTTGTATATTTGTTTGTATATGTATAAATTTGTCTAGGGGAAATGAGAAAAGTAGTGTGTAGAGTGTGGTAGTTACCATAAATGAGAGGACCATAAATATTTGTCAAGTTGTGATTGGCAAACTACTTAAACATGTTAAATGCACGATAACAAGCAAATACTAAGAAGAGCATTTTCGGAATGTACATATATTATTGTTGTTGTTCCATTTTTTCCTCTGTCCTGTTCTGGTGTGTTTGTTTTACTACTATTGAGGTCCTTAAATAAACAAAAATATGAACGAATATTCGTCCATACTTATGTTAAAGTTGAGCAAAATAAAATAAACCGTAAAAAGAAAAAATCAATTTATCATATTCATATCATAAACATAACAAAGTGGTTAAGTTCAAAGTATGTGGTCGTTTTATTTTTATACACTCAGAGAAAATATTTATTTTAAAAAAGTTGAAATATTAAAAATCTAATATGACCAAAAGTTTGTTTTTCTATGTATGTATATGGGAAAGTCTAAAAACAGATTTCGAAACAACATAGGAAACCTGAGTAAATAGTATAAATTATTCAGAAATATTATATATACCGCCAATATTCAACTTTTTTGATCTACTACTATTTTTAGGTACTGTTGTTAGTAGCGGCGACTATTTTATATACTAACCCTCGTATTCATAAAGATATTAAACGTTTATTTTAGGTTTATTACACACATTTTCCATACAAAATTCCTACAATCAACAACTTTATTTAGCGTTTATGAATATGGGGGTAAATCTAAATCAAAATACTAAAATAGCCTTTACCACATGTTACACATTTTCTTTGAGTGTATGCATGGAAATTGAACATGCATGTAGATTTAAATATAAAATGAGCTTTTCATTTGACTTATGTCGGTAAATAACGATTTTACTACTCACCCATTTATTAGAGTTTCCAATTTGCCATACAGATCACGGCGATGTCTACGCTTAATTTGTGGACTAACAACCTTCTCTTTATGTTTGGGACCAAAGCCGTTGGCATGTTGAAGCACCCATGTTGTGTTTGGCAATTCATAAGCAATTCCCCAATTTAAACCCATACTTAAATATCGATAATCAGGATTCCCCACAACACCAGTTGTCAAACAAACGGCAGTCTGCAAACAGCAGCAAGCATTACAGATGGTGTGGGGGGAGAGTTTAAAATAAATTGTCAATTATAAAAGCGTGTAAACACTTTTGAATGTTTTTAGTCTTTCGCTTACCGAAAATGATGAACCAACTGGAAAAGCAATAAAACGTTTACCCCTAGAATGAGCTGCGCCATTCATGTTGTTTAATACTCGTGTTGTTGAGTTTGTTACCCCGCTACTATTCTCATCTAAATCCAAAGTGACACCACATCCACCCACATGGGCACTAGAGGCGTTATAGAAATCAATGTCGTTTACATTTTTCATTGTATCCTCTTTCGCTAATGCTGCCACTTTATTAGAAGAGGACAACTTTAAAAGAAACACAAGCAGCAAAGTTGCACTCAACAATTCCAACACTCTCAACAATTTCATGGCCTTTAGTATTTAAACTAAAAACTCTGTAAAACTTTTTTCCTTTTATGGAGTTGGAGGAAAACTTTTATCTTTTCCGTTTCTTTAATTTTAACTCTGAATCAGTGTGTCTGCTTTCTCTAATACTTTTTCGATTGTTTTGGTAACTGAAACAAGAACAACAACAACACATACACAATCGCCAACTGAAAACTGTCTTTAGCAGATTTTTTTCTATATTTATTTTTTTTGTTGGGAGTTGTGGAGGATGTGGTGTGGTTTAGTTGGTTGTTTAAAGTGCGTTTGTTTAACTCGATGGGCTTTTGTAAAATAATCATAAAAATAAAATTTAAAAAAAAAAATCTGAAAAACGAACGATTCATTTTACTTTTTTTTTTAGCTTCTGGCTGATTTAGCTGGATTGTGTATCTATCATTTGAGGACAAGTTCTTCTGTTTCTTCTTGTTTTAAGTTGTTAATTAAATTAGTTTTTAACACAAAATCAGCACCAAAAACAATAACGAAAAATCGAGTTCAAGTGGTTCTTTTTGTTTAAAATTACTATATAGGTATTACATCCATACATACTTTCATACATACCTATTATATATTTGTAAAATTTCTACATTAGTAAGTTTGTTCGTATGTGTGTATCATTGTCATGATGTTAAAAAAATACACTCATTTCGTTTTGAAGATGATGTCTGGTAGTGATGATGATGATGACTATGAGAATAGTAGTGATGATTATTTTGGTAGTGTTGCCATGATGAGTAGAAAAAAAGTTTTTTTTTTTTATTTCAAATTTGTTTTTAATAGAATTTCTACTTTTATTGGCAGACCTCGTAATACACCTTAGTAAAGGTGTTGTTAAAATTTTATAATTTTGACCTATAACTAAATTTGGAACTGAAAAGAGTAACGGGCAACACTGTTGGTTGGTTTAGTATTTGAAATTGCGTTGGGTTGTGCACAATATGTGGTGAAGTGGGTCAACAAAAGTATTAATTGCACAGTATTTGATTTCTTTTGTTTTTTTTCACATATCGCTTATTTAGTACAAGACTGACATATTTACGAATTTGGATTTTTTGAACTTCTAAAGCCTTTCATATAATTTTGTCTTTTTTTTCAAATATTTCTAATATTTACAGTCCGGGAGTGAACTCTGGTGTAAACGTCAAAACTAAAATTCGTATCTTCACGAATATTGGATAAATCAAATTAAATTTGGATAAGAAACCTCTTCAACCTCAATGTGGCATTCAAACGATATTTTCGGAGTTATGACAGCTTTGTAGTAAATGAGAGATGTAATTTTAAACGAGACTAAAGTTTTTTTCTATTTTTGTTTTTGCTCTAAATTTTATGTGTGGATTTAGAAGTATATATGTATGTAAGTAATTTGTCTAATTTACTAATAACTCACTTCTATTTATCTTCGGTTGAAAGTACTACATTAGAGTTTTAAGAATCCAAGTTGTAAATATTTAGTGTCAACATCAACAATTACAGATTGCACTCAATGCGGTTTTTAGCCATTAGCGTTGACATTTAGTTGCAAACAATATTTCAGCATTGAAACATACTTACAGTGCAACATACACTCACTCGTCTATCAGTATGAAGACGTTCATTTATTTTCTAGTTTTTAGCGAAATCCTTAACAATTGGATATACTACGTCGTTAGCTCATCCTCTAATAAAAAGCAAACTTTTGTAATGAAAAACAAGTCAAATGATATTTTTCTTAGAAGATCTAAACGATATTTGGTTTTTAAAAAAGGAGCATCCTTTTTTGTGAGTTTATAAAAAAAGATTTAAACTGCTAGTTTCTTGAAGCTTTTGATATTAAGAAACTGGTGGTAGGATTGACACTTTGATTTATTATAAAATTAATAAATTTTCATTATGCCTATAGGTTCAGGGTAATATGGCGAAATCGATAATACAACCAGCACCTAGAGGTTTAAATCTGATTGCTGAATACACTTTAAATTACGAATTGCCAACGGATTTTTATGTATTTCAAAAGAAACAGACGAAAACTACAAAGCACCCCATACCCACAATGACTACAAAAAGTCCATACACTAAAGTTCCCTACTATCAACATTATGACATGATTGTTCCCTACAATCACGATTATTACTTTAAAATACATCCGGAATATATAAATAAACAACTCATTCAAAGGAAACACTCATATTCTAAGAAAAAGATGCTGCAACGGAAATGTTTTAAGAGGAATTTCTACGACTACAATCGCAAATTACCGAGTATTTGTTTAAATCGTGCCAAACGTAACGAAGAAGTTTGGAGTCTTCACAAGTTAACCATTTCCCAAAGAATGTTTTACGATTTAATCGAAAAATGGTCTCTACTGTAAGTTTTAATAAGAATCCTGTCAAAATTGAAATTTAAATAAAATAACCGGAAAATTAAAATCCTTCCTTCCTTTCTCTGAATGGAAAAAATCTACTAGAATTTTGAATTATAATTAAAAATTACAGTAAAGATTTCGGTTTAAAATTTACTAATTTAATTTGACATATTTTTTAGGCATGGATTTTTACCGCGTTACTGTTTTATGCGAACTTTATGCGAATCATCAGAATTGTTGTTACCGTATGGTTATTCCTTGTTGCATGATATCATTCATATATTGCTCAGGTAAGTATTTGGTGGAGAATGGTGTATGATTGGAGCTAATAAAACTCTACACATACATAAATTGTTTTGTTGTAATAGTAATAAATTAAATGAGTCCATAAAATACATTCGTACTTATGAGCAAGTAAATGTTACAACAGACACTATTAGAGTGGTTCAATTTTTTTACAAGAAACCTAAAATGGTGAATAGTAATGTGACTTGTACCATGTTTGTTGTTTTTCATTGATGAACCACTCTAATTTACACACACACATACATACATAAATACGGGTGTATGTTTTTATGCATTAATTGTCAATATTTGGTTACAGGTACACCAAACCATGGGTTTTTCATCATAAAATATTTGGTCGTTCATTAAGGCAGACGTATCCTATCGATGAATGTGCTAAATTGTATGGTCCACATTGCCGTGTAAGTTGGTTGGATTTCATAACCAATGTGGTGCATGGTACAAGGGCGGTTGATTTTATGCGTTAAATGTCCTTTATGGACAGACTAAACCAGAATATAAAAATAATAAATAAAAATACAAACTCTGTTGATTATAAATTTGTTTGTTTTTGGAAAATATAACATACATACATACACACATGAATACGTACATATGTATGTATGTATGTATTCTGTATGTGTTGTTCATTTGTAACATGTGTTCTGTGTGTATGTACCCAAGTGATAATGATTTTTAATAAATTCATCCATTTATTTATCGAAAGAAATTGTGTTGTTATTTTAATACATATTCATACATATGTATATATGTACATACATACATATGGTATATTCAAGTGTTTCCGCAATTATATTTGTATAAAATGTTTTTTTGCAATTATTTATATAAAATTTGTTAAAAAAAAGCGATGGTCATAAATAAAGTGCTAGTATTTTTATTTTAATATTCATCCACTTACTCTACCCTGCTCCTCTAACTTATTTGTCAACTATTTACTAACAAAAAAAATTATTGCCATTTTTAGTAGTACATATGAAAAATGGGTCCATTTTATTTTCATATCTATACAAACACACATATTTGTATGTATGTATGCATACTTTTTATTTAATATCCTGTTTGTCATCAAAACACAAAAATAAAATAATAAAACAAGTAAGAAATTATAGTCGGGCGTGGCCGACCATATGATACCCTACATCAATTGCGAATATTAAATGTGATTAATTTCAATAATGAAGCATTTCTGTTAATCTTATATAGGTTCCAAATAATGTCTGTTCATGTTTGGTTGTATGCTGACTAGGAAAAATAGAAGACCGATTTTAATCATTTTCAATAGCCATCGTCAGTGGATCAAGAGAATAGTATGTGACACATTTTAACATATTATATTCAAAATTGCGATCTGTTGCCTGCACACAAGTTTTACACGGTCACAAAGACGGACATAGCTTAATAAGGACAAATATTTTTGAGTGCTACAAACATCACCACATTGTGCCGACTTTTGGATAGATAGTAGTATATTAGACGTAGTTAAAAGATAAACGACCGAAATCGGAAGGTCCGGATGTATGGAGGCTAAGGCAGAAATTGAGCCGATCCTTATAAAATGTATTATTGGGAATTATCTATATACATATATAAAAATGAATGTGTGTTTGTTTGTATGTTTATATGTTTGTGTGTTTATATGTTTGTGTGTTTATATGTTTGTGTGTTTATATGTTTGTATGTTTGAACGTTATATACTACTAAACGGCTAAACCGATTTTCTTCAAATTTTCACAGCACATTCGTATGTCTGGCAATAGGCTACTTTTTATTTCCGGTCATGGCGAAAAATGACAGTGTTATTTATAATTACATATAAAACTTAGTTGTGCCAATTTTTGGGAAGATAGTAGTATATTTATCGTAGTCATGAGCTAAGAGGCCCTAATCGGTAGGTCCGGTTGTATGGGGGCTAGGGCAAAAATTGGTCCGATCCTTATAAAATTTAATGTCGACATTTTATATAAAATGTTTATATAAAATCTATTTGTGGTAAATTTCATATTGATACTAGTGTTTATAGGTGAATTGTGGACATTCAAGTCATTTCCTGAAGGGATTTTGTATGGGGGATAGGGTCAAATAATGCCCGATCATTATAAAAATCGACAGTGTTATTTATAATTATATCCAACTTAGTTGTGCCGATTTTTGGAGAGATAGTAGTATATTTGACAAAGTTATGAGCTAAAAGGCCCAAATCGGAAGGTCCGCTTATATGGGGGCTAGAGTAAAACTTGGTCCGATCCCTATAAAATTTATTGTTGGGAATTATGTTTATATAAAACTCATTTGTGCCAAATTTCATCGTGATACTACTGTTTATAAGTGAATTGTGGACATTCAAGTCATTTTCTGAGGGGGACTTTGTATGGGGGCTAGGGTCAAATAATGCCCGATCTTTACGAAAATCACTAGAATTATTAAGACATACATATATAAAACTTAACTTTTCCAATTTTTGTAGAGATAGCAGATCATTTAACATAATTATGAGGTCAAAAGCCCTATTCGGGGGGTCCGGTTGTATGGGGGCTAGGTGAAATAATGGACCGATTTCAACTATTTTCAATAGCGTTCGTCCTTGGACCAAGAGAAGTGCATGTTCCAAATTTCATCAAATTATCTCAAAAATTGCGACCTGTAGAGTGCGCATAAGGTTTACATGGACACACAGACAGACAGACAGACGGACGGACGGACAGACGGACATAGCTTAATCGACTCAGGAAGTGATTCTGAGTCGATTGGTATACTTTAAGGTGGTGTAGGGTATAATAAAACTTCAACTTATAAAATTGTTCATGTTGACACACATTTATTATTGAAAATAGTGTTATGCATGTATGTATGCTGCTAGTCATATCCCAATAAGCAAAATTATTTGATATAAAATAAATATTTATTTATAAACATATTATTTACTTGTAAAATTTGAAAATGTTTGTTTTCAAATTAAAATTACAGATTTTTTAGCTTAGATTTCAAATGCAGTTTTCTATGGTGAAGGGTATGTAAGATTCACCATAGCCAAATTTTCTGAAGGGGAACTTATATGGGGGTAGAATCAATTACGGACCGATCCTCATAAAATTTCGTAGGTAGGCTCATATGAAACTAATTTATGTTGAATTTCATCGCTATAATAAGACTTTTAAAATATATATGCCCGTTAAGGCTGTTTTTTTTTTTGGGTTCCACTTGTATGGGGGCAATCCGAAAACGTGAACCAATATAGCCAATTTTCAATACAAACAAAATTATAGATAATATATGTGGAAAATTTCAGCTCATTCCGTTCGGACTCTATCGTGTTTTCAACAGACAGACAGACGGATGGCTAGATTGTCTTAGAATTTAATAAGGAGCCAGAATATATATACTTCTGTGGGTCTATGACCAATATTTCAATGTGTTACAAACGGAATGACAAAATGGTGGGTATAAAAAGTAATGTAGTTATTTAATTTGAAAACAATTAGAAATATACAGGAACATTTTTAAGAATGTTCATAGGCCTGATTCGATGTTTATTGGGATAAACAAACATATATGTATGTAAATATGTCAGTCGCTCTGTTTATTGTAAAACAACCATATTTTGGCCTGTAAATTAATTGAAAAAAAATGCAAAGTATATAAAATGAATATAAAGGTGTGCAAAATAGGTTTCTCTAAGATAAGATTTAATATTCATTTAATATAATTAAATTAATATTAAATTGTTAATTTATATGAATTGTTAATTTCAATATACTTTTTATTTTTCCCGATCACTTCGTTTAGATGCAATTTTTGAAGTTTAATTTTTAATAATTATTAGTTTAGTAGTTTGCAACTGATTTTCAAATTTTATATTTTTTTTAAAGATACAAAGTGTTACAAAAAAAAAAAAAAAATCAAAATTTATGATCAAATATCTGAGTTACGGCCACTCCCAAGATATTTGGATCCTATTTCGGCGAAAGCATTACAATGGCAAAGAAAGTGCTCTAGAGTTTCACTGCCCTCTCTAAATGCTCTACATTCCATTAATGCCTAAGGTCCTTCTACATAGCGACCAGCACCGATGTGCCTATATTTGTATTTCTTGTGAAAAGAGAATTTTCCGTATTCGCCGGGTTATCAAGGTCGTATTAAGATCCTCTTCAGCTCTTCTACACAAGTAATTTGGATCCTTCCCCTTAGGAGTATTACGACAACGTCTTATAGCAGACATGTCTAAGTCCTTTCTCGCTTAGGGTTCTTAGGAAGCTGTTATTCGTGGTAACCCAGAGTAAAGGGGACCAAAGGATTTGATAAGAGTATTAGATTGCACGTTATTGAAGGCGCCTTCGATGTTAATGCATACTGCCAGTGTATACAGTTTTATAGAAGGATTCACTTATATAGTGGACAGCTGTTACAATTCAAAAAAATAAAAACTAGAATTTAGAGTTATGCCGGTTATGTAGTAAATGAGCGACATATTTTAACTATTTTTGTCATATTAATTATATAAAGTTTTTGTGTATTCTCTAAACATAAACACATACATAATATTTATGTAGGTATATTGTTTTGTTTGCTTGTGTAATATTTAATAATGTCACCTGTGCATAATTACCTTACTAGTTATATGCACTTATGTATATCCCCGCAGTTCGGGGTGACTGACGATTTTCTTTCTCTGTTCACTTGTGGCAAATGATCTAAATGTATAAAATTCGAGACAACCATGTAGTTAGACATTTGAGATAAATTCTGTTTAAAAAAATAGAGACATTGATCTTGCAACAACTATCTCTTAATGTCAAATCTCAGAGAATGTTTTATTATACTGGAGTGAGTATTATGTATCTTTGACTGTTTGAAAATAAATGTGTTTGATTGCGGAGAGGACAATGTAAACAATTGAGCTATTTCCTCTATAAAAACCTCAAGAAGAATCCATTTTGATACTACTTTTCGAACTAACGGTTTAAGTATGTTAGTTTGAGTGTGAGTAAATATGTATGTTTATATGTTAGATATTTAAATGAATTCTTTACGCACATTATTTCAACTAGCTCTTTTAAACATGTTAAAGCAGCTGGTTATGTATTTAAATTTTCAATTAAGTAATGAGGGTCTCGTTTCATATCTACAACTCTAATTTAAAATTTCAATTCTTTCTTCGTTTTACAATATTTAACATCAATGTGCCACACTATTTTTCAGTTTTGTTCTATGTAAAGAGTCAAGTCTGTGTTGACTGTATGATGGATGAGTTTGAAAATGAAAAACTTTTCCATAAACTCGTACAAACTTCTACGAGTTAAAGTTTGAAGATAAATTTGCGTTTGTGTGTTTGCTTGTCTTTTTTGTTGTTTTATTGTTCTCAATATTGATGTGCGTGCGAGTGGTGTTTGTTGATATTTATTTTTTTTTACTTTTTCTTAACAAAACTAAAGAATTTCAATTAAATTTTAAAAGCTATTAAAGTGATAATTTTTCAAGTAAATAAATAAAATTAACTTTTAAAATCAATTACATTGAAAGAAGAATACAACTGAGGAAATTTTTAACAAAATCAACTATTTAACGAGTTTTGAATTTTTTATAGAACTGTTATGGTTTAGTTTAATTGTTCTCAATACAACGAGCAGACATCGAAATAGATCAATATGCAGTTTTTAAAAGTTGTAGCATTTCTAAATTTACTAGTCGTGTGTATGTCAGCAGAAACTTATTCCAATTCAACGCAAGTTTTAAGTCGTCGAAAAAGATATATTGCGTTTCCAGATGGTTCATCCGTTTCGGTAAGTTATCTACCAAGTATTTGATTAAAAAATATGAAAAATTAGTTAATATGTAGTTACTGGTTTAGGCTGCCATCTGTTTAACCATTGGAGTGGTGGGAAATCCTCATGTAGATTATTTAAGTTGGGCCGTGAATTGGGGTGTGGCCTACAATTTGCCAAATTATGCCTGGGCTCGTAAACATGCTCAGGGATTTTCTAATATAACTAAAGCCATAATACAAAGACGTTCTAGAAGGGAACTCTTTGAGAAACTCGAGTTAATGATTGACAAGTGAGTATTCTGTTCAATTACAATCGTGGTATGGGTAGTGTGTAAATTGTTTGTTTTGTTGCAGCATGGGATTCAGTGGTAATACCTGCATAGCACGAGCTCTTTGTGAAAGTGCTCAAATTTTGCAACATTTAAGACAGCGACGAGGCAACATGGTTGAAGAAATAGTCAAAACTATTTTTAGGTAAGTTTAACTATACTTTAAAGATAAATAGTTTCAGAAAGCTCAAAATTTTTATTTTACTACAGTTTACCCACAGCACCGGTGGAGTATCATGAGCCTGAGAAACATCATTTATATGATCGTTTATATCGACGTGCGAAACGTTCCGAAATTAATTGTGCCGTGGAATATTCCTCATGTCGCTTCTCATTGCTAGAAATGGCTTTGGGCAAATATTCAGTTGGATCAACGAAATTAAGTCCGGGTTTTGTTTTTATGTAAAATTACTTTACTAATATCGTTGTAAAAATAAAAAAAATGAAAATAATGTTAATAAATATAAATAATGTTAATAATAATGTTTAAAATAGGAAATTATATTGTGGAAATTGCAAACGAAATGAAAAACTTATACTTCTCACTAAGAGGAAGGGTGTAATAATATAGTCCTAAAACTATTCTGCTCTCCAAGTAGGAATAGAACTAAAGACCGAATAATATTCATTAATAATATAATTTAAAGTTAAAAAAAAAAATGAGTCCCAAAATTATGTGGTCCTTTCCATGTTTTATATGAATGACTTTAGGGCTACTGCTTTTTTTTCTTTTACCAGCTTTTAAATAAAAATACGTTTAGTGATTTTTTTTAAAACAAATTATTTTTCATTTTATTTTTTTGTTCATTTTTTATTTAATAATAACGCGTAACATTTATATAATAATTATTTTATTATTAATTTCATTTGTTTTTTTTTTCTTTTGTTTTGGGGTTTTATTTTCTATTATTACGTTTTACCATTTTATATTTTTAATTCTTACGTTTTTTTGTGTTTTTAAGTTCATTTTTTTATTTGTTTTTAATTTCATTTTAATTCTTATTAATTTTGTGTTTGTTGTTAGATTTTAAGAATAATGCCATAATTTCTTACAAATTGTAAATGATTTTATTATTTTGTTGTGATTTTTTTGTTTGTGTTTTTTATTTATTTTTGTTTTGTTTATTAAACATTATTAAGTTCAAAAAATGTTTGTATTATTTATTTTTAATTATTACTGAAATAAATAATTATTTTTATAATTAATTAGTTGTTGTGTTCAGTTTTAAATTATTTTTATTATTATTAATTATTACATATGTATTAGTCTATAAAACGTTTATACACATACAGTTTTGTTTAATTTTTTTTGCATATTTTTTTACAATTTTTCTTTTTGTTTTTCATTTATTATTATAATTGATTTTTACGTGTTTTGTTTGTTTTTGGAATTTAGTCAAAGTTTTTTACTATCATTTCTTTTATAAGTTTTATTATTTTCATAATTATAATTATTTGTTGTTTATTATTAGTGTTATATTATTTAATTGTAGTTGTAATTGTAATTCATATGTGAAATGTAAATGCATTATTTTGTTTACCTAGTAAATATTTTTTTTGTTTTTTTTTTCTCATAAATTTTCAATTCGTGTTGTCATAATTTTCTTTTTTATAAATTTTTTCATTGTTGTTAAAATTACATTAAACATTTATGCTTAATTGTTTTTGCTTTGTTTTACTAAAGAATTTTTGTTTGTTTGTTTGTTTTTTCCAATGTTGTTGTTATGTTTGTTTGTGTGTGAGAGTGTTTTTAGTTAACAAATTATTTGTTTTTCATAGTTTTAAATTTAAAAAATATATATAATATATATTTATATATGTATGTAAGTATTTATGTATGTATATGTTTTTATGATTATTTATTTTTTTTATATGAATTTCTAAAATCAACCAAGCCATAATAATTGGAAGTACGTTTTTCCTCAAAGTGATTTTCTGAACAAAAATGAATAATTTAATTTGAGCGTTTAAAAAATATGTATATATTATTGCATATTTACAATAACATTGATAAATTCACAATAGAATTATGAACTCATGAACCACTGCAACAAATTTGATAATTATATAAGTTTATTATTTTTTTTATAGTTACTTATTGGACTTTTTTAATTTTATATAAATTAAACAATAATTTTAGACGTTTTTGTCATTATTTGGAGATCTTTCATCACGCAGAATAAAAATTCATAAATTACTCCTTGTAAATAATAATCTTTGATTCCAAATCATGATAAAATAAATTAGGAACCAATGATAGGGAATGACACATTGATTTATTCATTTCTTTTAAGTGAATGGTATTTTAGTTGCCAGCAGTTTGACAATGAGTCTATGCATTCGAAAAAGAAAGTCATTTCCACTAACATCTAACCACCTGATTGGCTCTAATGCGTCTTTCGTCACGAATGTACTCTTATAAACGAGAGTGAAGATACTCGTTACTGTAGTGTCCCCTATGAAAGCGAGAGCTTAGACAGTCGTCACTTTACAGTCCCCAAGTAATCTAGATAGTGGACACTTAAATAACAAACTTAAGCCCCCTCCGGAGCATGTTTCATTGATGAAAGACCCTCATCTTTTGCAATCACGAGGTAAAGAGGTGTTACCAGTGCATTTAGTCTACCGGAACTATTAACTGGTGATGTTATTTCACTCCTCGGCTAGAACCACATAATCTGGTACTACGGGAGGCCAGTTGCCCGCAGGACTTGTCCTGGCTGGTCAGTTAATTGAGGTTCCTTCGGAATCCACGTAGTGGATGTGGTTTAAATCCAAATTAGCGGGAAGAGTAAGTTGCGGTTAAAAGACTGATGCACGGTGAAATCTATATTTCGGGATAAGTTCGGTGCTGTTGCCGAATGTAAACAGATGAGTGAAACGTTGGAAATTAGTTGGTGTTAATTGTATATGATACAGGATGAATGTGGGGGTATACAGAACTCATCCGCCCGTATAAATAGAGTGAGTCTGTCGTATTTTGTTCTCTTATGAGTGTGTCGGATAAATGAGAAGTGCTCTGGGTTGAATGGTGATGGATGGAAGGTATCATATACAAGTGATATCATTGAATTTTCTTCCGTTGTCCAGGTATGTTCAGAGTAAATTCTGGGGCGGTGGTGAGTCTTCACACAAGCTCACCCAGTGGTTGAAAAAGACTACCGTGAAATAGGCCAACACGGCAGGTGTTTACGTCAAGCACTTCGACATTAATTAATTGCCTTATATTGACTACTTTGGACTAGATTTCTGACTGTCTCATTTCGAGTATAAATGATAAATTAGTAATATCCATTTGTTCATGAATTCGTCTGATAGTGTCGTCTAATTATATTTGGTAAATGTTGTCGATCACTCAGAATACTATTACCAAATTCGTTTAAGCCCATTAAAATCGATAGTTTAAATCTTTTAATTACAACAACGTAAGAAATCTACATTAGAGATTATAACTTTTACTATTCTTTCAAACAAAAATACTTATTTTTTAAAAAATTCCATATTTTTTTGTTTTTAATTTTTAGAAATTATTTTATTGTTAAGAAATTCTAGAAATCTGCTTTGTGTCAATGTGATTCAATCATCTTTGCATCTATACCTTAATATATGTATGTATGTATGTTAAGTGTAAATTCCTAAAACAAGTAAATTATTTTAATCACTCAAATTTAATTATTCATTTTGGTATTTTTAATAAATAATATATTTTCAATTATGGCTGTGGTTGCATATATTGTGGTGTTGTTTTCCCCAGTGTTGTTAATGACGTTTTTTGTTAATTTAATTTATTTTATGTTACAATTTTAAAATAAGTTTTTAAAAAGTTTTCAAAATTTACAACAAATATTTAAACATGTTTTCTTTTAATTTTAGATTTTATTCTAAGACTTGTATTTTTTTTATTTTGAATTTTTTCGTTTTTTTTTTTGTTAATTATTGAATGCATACAAAAAATATATATTATTTTATCTAAGTTTTACTTAAATCAATGTACATTTATAGTTTAATTTTGTTTAAAAAAATCTCATTTTAACCTAAATATTAAGTTAAGTTGTTGCGGTTTGTTTTTACACTCATAAAAATTGTTTAGTTTAATCTAAGTTATGATGCAAAGTGAAGGTGAAATGAAATGAAATGTATTCTCAATATATGATCATGAATGAATGAATGAATAAATGCATGAAAGTAGTGTTTATGTGTCTGTGTTTATGCTCGTATGCTTGTGTATGAAATTAAAATAATTTTGAATGAAATATTTTACAAAAGTTTTAATCGCAATGTTTAATAACTATGGGTTGTTCTTAAACAAATAAAGTTTGAATATGTGTAAAAATATAATGAAAGAAAAAAAAGAAAAAAAAACATGGGAAAGAAAGAAAATTCTATTAAAATGTCCATCACAACCCTTAGAAAATGAAATACAGCTAAAAAACTTTGATAAAATTTACCTAAAAGTACCCGTTTTTATATAGATTTTATTTTTTAATTATATTAATTTTTGTTATTTTTTAAACTAATTTAAGCATTTTTAATTGTTCTTCTCGTTTTGTTTTACTAAAAGCATTACATTTTTATTCTGTGTGTGTATGTGATTTTTTTCTTAATAAATTTATTGCAATGTTTTATTTATTTAATTAATTATTATTATTATTATTATTTTAATTTAATTCATATGAATTATTTATAAACGAGTATTTGATGTTAAACGTTGTTAGTTTTTGGTTGTTTTATTTTAATTTTTTTGCTTAATGTTTGAAATTGAAACCGATACAATCCAGTGCTGTATTTTAGATTTTATTTTTATATAAAAAAATTTATGATAAATACACAGAATTTGTTGTTGCTGTTTATACATTAACAAAAAACAAGGAGTAAAATATAAATAAATAATAAATTGTTGAGTGAAATCAAACAAAAATGAAATTTATTCGTTTGTTTGTAATGCACACTGTACAGTTATTATTAATTAATATTAATTGTTTATTACTTTATTTACAATTGTTTTTTGTTTTTGTTTTAATTTTGTTTAGTGGTATTTAATTTAATAAATTATTTGTTTGCAATTGTTTTTTTGTTTGTAAATACTTTCGCAACAAAATTCTTATCAAAATGTAAAAAATAAATAAAAACCATTTTATAAAGTGCCATTTTGTTTTCAAAGGAGCAGGAGGTGAAAGAATTAGTTGAAGGAATGGATGGATGGATGGTTGGTTGTGTGTGTGTGTGTATGTGTGAGTTTGTGGCTAAGAAAGTTTGTATTGTTGTGTTTTGTTTGTGGGCAAAGTGCTGTTGCAGAGAGTTTTTAAACCGTAGGAGTTTTTACTTCTATTGCTTCTATTGTCAGGTACTTTAATACATAATTAATAATGTTTTGAATTGGATAAAAAGGTTTCTTTGCTGCTAGTGTTGTTTTTCGTTTGAAAGAAATGAAATTGATGACATTTGATTATTGATGTTTAAAAAGTTTTTTTTAAAAACAAGCTCATAAAGCTCTTAACTAGTTAGTAATCAATGGAATCGATTAGTAAGTAATTATTCAATTGTTTTATTTATTTTTATATTTGGTTTTTGTCCAGCATCTAAGAAGTATATCTCTTGTAGTTTTTATTTTATATGTTCAACAGTTGTAAGTAATTATAAGTTGTAAGTACCAGTCTCCTTGGAAAAGCAACTAAAAAACCTTAACAGATGGTGTATTTATTTTTCCATTTTTAACAAATAAACCAAATACAAAAGCATACGAAAATTAATAAATTAACTTAAAAGTGTTTCTCCCATTTTGGCTGTGGCATGTTTTTTTTTCGTATTTGTGTCGTTTTTCTTCTTTGTAAGCAATAAAATGTTTTTTATTTTAATTATTTGATGTGATTTTTTTTTTTGGTTTTTTAAAAATTCTACGAAAAGACGACCTTTTATTTGGAAGACTTTTGATTTTTTTTATATTTTGTTTATTTTAAATCAAGTGTGTATGCCGCATATTTAAAGTTATTTTTAATAGTATTTGATGGTTTTCGTTTTATTGGTGATAAAAAATAGTATATATAAAAACTATAAATTTTATCAAGCATTTAAATAAATTAAATAAAAATGTGAGTGGATTTTTCCCCTTTTTTTTGATTTAATAATAATTTTCGTTGTTCAATAATGGTACATTCAATTTTAATGAAATAAATTCATAATTCTTCATTGTTTTTTTTTTCTAATTGTATTTGTTTATGGTAATATTATTGTTTAACAGTTTCTTTTGAAAGAATTAAATATAATTTTATTCATATGTTTATTAGATAAGCTATAAAATAACTTAAATTCTTTGCTACTTATTATGTTTGAGATTTAAAATTTCAATTGCGCAACCTAAAGTCAGAATAAGTGACAATATTTGTTAATGACAATTGAATGCAATAATCTAATTATACCATCAGCATTACAAAGAATTAAACTTTCCAAAAAAATTGTCAAAGTTTTAATCTAAAACTAGAAATACGTTTAAAATTATATCTTTAAATTATCTTAATATGGGAGAACTGTTTTTGGTTGCTTTTAGCTGCTTAGTATGCATATGAGTTAAATAATATTTTAATGTAAAACTGTTAAACAATCACTAAGTATGCACGTCTGTAGTAAAAAACTGCATAATTTAAAACCCTGTAATACCAACTGTTTTTTACTAAATGCTAAATACAAAAAAAAGTTCATAAAAAATAATTGAAATAATGATTTATAAACGTATACATATTTTCAAAAGAATTCACAGTATGTTTAATTTCTAAATCAGTCTAATCTAAATCAGTGATCTAAATCAGTAAAAAAATAGTGATTAAACTCAGAATATACCCAGCAGTTCGACAAAGGGGCATTACCACTAACCGCTAGTTGGTAATAAAGAGCGAAAACAATCGTCACTTTATTGTATCCTAGGTAAACGAGAGCAAAGACAGTCTTCACTTTACTATTTCAAACTTGTTTTTTTGGTATTTTAGTTCCTAGCAGTTTGACAAAGAGTCTATGCATTCGAAAAAGAAAGTCATTTCCACTAACATCTAACCTGATTGGCTCTAATGCGTCTTTCGTCACGAATGTACTCTTTATAAACAAGAGTGAATTTAGTCATTACATTAGTGTCCCCTATATAAGCGAGACCGTAGACAGTCAACACTTTACAGTCCCCAAGTAATCTAGACGGTGGACACTTAAATAACAAACTTAAGCAAAAATGTTCATGGCTGTACTCTTCGTAATCTAGGTGTAACGTAGGTAGGTTAAATAGGTTGAACAGGACTATCCGGCCGAACTGCTGGGTTGTATTTTATAACGTAGTTAGAAAAGTTAAAAGAAATTTCTTACATTTGCAACGAAAAAAACTTACTTTTTAGTTTATCTTAAATAGCCAAAAAAATCTCCAAAAAACAGCTAATGAAGCCTAATTTTTTGGTCCAGAAAAGATCATCGAACTTTTTCTATAGGCTGTGAATCCTTTATGTAGACTAATTGTAATAAATATAAATTAAAACTAGACAAATCAAATGAAACGTAATGTTACATAATTTCCCGTTAATTTATATTTATATATTTGTTTATTATTGAAGTTAGAAAATTAATATGACAGTTTTACACTTGCATAACTACATTTAATTTTTGTTATTTTATTTAGTTTTTTTTTGCAATATATTTATTTGTTTTTGCTTTAAATTTTTAAAAAACATTTAGAATTAATAACGCTAAACCTTTGACACCATATTTACAATGTAAAGACAAATGAAAAACAAAAAGAGTCATTTAAATACAAAAAATTGAGAAATTCTGTGATGTCAATGTATTGGTGTGGGTGTGTCAGTCCTTGAGTGAGTGTGTATGTGTGTGTGTGTAAGTGAGTGTTAGAAATTATGGCTTATATTTTAATTTTAGTTACAAACTTACCCACAATGTTAACTTCGAACCCCGTTTGTTTCAATTTTCAAAATTGAAATTTCTTGTTCATTTTATTTTATTGTTTTTGTATTTGTTTGTGAAATGAAGAAAGTGCTGTGTTTTTGTTTTTTTATTTGTTATTTCTATAATTTATTTACTTTTTTTTTGTTAAACATTACTTTGACTATTTTTTGTTTTGTTTCCTTGTCTTTTTGTGGCAGTTATTTTTTTGTTTTTATAATTTAATTAACATATAATAATTTAATTATTTTAGTTTTCTTTTGTTTTGAATTTATTAATCCTAAATATACAAATAATTGTTTTTATTTTTATATTTTTTTTGTTGTTTTATAATGCTAATTTATATTACAAATAAACACAATTTGTGGCGTTTTTCTTAGTTATTTCTTTTTTTTTCTCATAGATAGAATTAAAACAAATTTAAAACGATTTGTAATCACAATTAAGAAAGTGGAATAAATAAATAAATAATACCGCTAAATGTAGAATGAATGCATGAATCAATGAATGAATAATGTTTAGGAAATATTTTATTACAAAAGTATTAAATCTAGTTAAATGTATGAATAAATGTTTGTTTCTTCTTAAGTTTTCCTTAATTTGGCTGCTTGTTAAAGAAAATTAAAATTTTTATTTTGGAAAATGAATTCGTTGAAAATGTTTGAAAGAACTAAATAAGTAAAATATAAATTAATTAATTATTTTTAACATTTCCTTTTTTATTTATCTAAAAACACAACCAATGAGAGCATATTTATTGTAAAGTTTTTAATTTGTTTTATTTTTAATGCCTTTTCAAAATGTTTTTCTTTTTCTTTTGTTTTGTTTTATATACGTTTAGTAAGTAAGTTTTAAATATTTAATAAATAAAAAAGAAAATATTTATTGTTTCTTGTTTTTATACTTCCTCTTCTTCTTATTATTCTTCTTCTTTAAATAGCGTAATGATTTCCCAAAAAATTTTAATTTTAAAAAAATTGATAAGAATAGAAAAAAACTAAAAGTTTTAAAAAATAACAATTAAAATGTTTAAGATTTAACAATTAATAATTATAATAATATTACAAATATTTACGTTTTTTTTTTGTATTTATGTGTTTGTTTTATTTTATTATTTCCGCTGATTGTCTAAAGTTAAAAAACCAATAAATTAATCGAAATAAATTGAAGAAGCTCAAACTGAAATCGTTTATTTTTATTAAATTTTAATTTTGTTTTTTTTTTATTTTTTTTTTAATTTCTAATTGATTAATAAAACTAATTGTTTGTGTTCTTGTTTAGTTGTTTTTGTAGTTATTATTAAATATTTACAATTGCTTTGCATTTGTTTGCGCATTGTTTGGTGAAAATCTTTTTTTATTTCTTATTTTGTTTTCTATTTTTTATACAATAGATTTTTTTAGTTAGAGAATTGTGTTTTTGTTTTTTTTTGTTGCTGTTGTTGTTTTAATACTTATTATGGAATTATTAATTTGTTTGTTTGTTTCTACTTCAGCCTTTGCTTAAATTTATTAATTTAAAAAAATGTGTAGACTGTTTGAAAATTTTTCGTGTTTCTTTTAGCAACAATTCCTGGCTTAAAAAAAGTTATATTTTTTCTTTACTTTATGATTTTAATAAGATTTGTTGTTCTACTGTAAAATTCTTGCTGGTGTAAAATTGTTAATGATTTTCAGATATTTTCATCAGATATTAAGCTCAATTTTAATAGTATTTTTAATTAGTTTATCATTTTAATTTTTTCCATTTTATTATAACACCAATTTTAGTTAAGTTTTTTTTTTATTTCCTTGATCAAAGAAATTATCGTTTATTTTAAAGAAATTTGTGTGTTTTCATTTCAATTTTAAATTTCATTTTATTTAGTTCTATATTTATTTTTATTTTATGTGAATTTTCATTTTTACACATTTATTTGTATTTTTTATCTATTATACACGAATTTTTATTTGCCTTATTTATTATAGTTTTCTTTATTTGTTTATTTATTTATTTAATAATTTATTTAAAATCTAATTTTTTATTAAAAAAATGTTAACTTTTTGTCCACTTTACTTTTGCATTTACACTTAAAAGGTAATTTAATTACTTATTTGTTTATTTATTTTTTGTTTTATTATTATTTTTTTCTTTAATTTTTATATTTGTTTTTATTTCAAGTTGATCTTTTATTTACTAGATATTTATATTTTAAATATTAAATGTCTAGTATTTAGTAAAAACACACAAATTATCTATTACAAAAACGAAAATAGAATACAGAAAATTAACATTTTTTAACTCAAATTGGTTAAACAATTTTACATAAACACATACAAGAAGTGATTTCAAAATCAAACCTTCTAGAGACAGAAAATAAGTGAAAACATATTCAGTCGAATATACGAATATTATTTACGCGTTTAGGAAACTTTTAAGTATGAATTATATGTTGACAACGTATAAGTGGTTTTTAATTTTTGCAATGATCATACGCCACCATTTAGTATGTTGTAAAAGCAACCAATGATCACATACAGTACAAAGTTTACAATTAAAAAAAAACTGATGTACACAAATGAATTAGCATTTAAATTGCTTGTATATTTCAACCAACCTGGCAAACATTGTAAAAATGTTCTTTAGAATAAATGTATTTATTCCTCCTCTTTATCATCTTCTTGTTTTTTGCAGACTCTTACACTTTACACAAAAAGTCAAACTATTTTAATTAATTTTCATTGAAATGTGAGAATAATAATGGAAAACAAAATCGATTAGGAATTTTAATTAAAGTTTTGCCACTTGAAATTTTCCCATTTTTAAGAGGAACCAGAAAACCAGAAAGCAACCAAAAACTTGCAAAACAATAAGAAAAAACTGAACCCAACTCTTCACAACTCTACCATAAAATTTCATTATCATGGTGATAATGACTTTTGAAAACATTATTTTGATTAAATGCGGACACAATTTTTAATGTTTATTTTTTTGTTATAAAACATACAATGGTGCAACCGAAAGAGTGCGAGTAATAAAAATATATATGTGCATATGCACATTTATTATATAGAAATGCATATGGATGTACATTAGGGCAATAACTTTATTCCTTTCTTTTGCAAATATCGAATAGACCACTATAATTTACAAAAAAAAAAATATTTCACGGAACTGAAGATTTTTCTAATTTCAAAAAATTGTTTTTGCAAGATTTTAATATAGACTATGGTGTGGTGATAGGGCCAAAATTTGTTTATACCCCTAATGTACATACATTGTGTAATGTATGTACGCATGAGTCTATGTGTATGTTAGAAAATTTTATTATACTTTTAAAGTATGACAGTTGTATGTGTTCGTTATAGTTCATGTATTTACAAACTAACGTACTTCCGTTTATATTCATGTATATGTATGTACATAAAAATACACATATATATAAAATATGCACATATGAAAAATGTACATATGTATGTGTACGAGTGCATAAAAATTACAAAGTTTTTTTTATTGTTTGCAGTAGTGGCGGTTGTTTTTATTTTGTTAACAAATTGATGAATGTTTAAAAAGTTTTTTATTTACTTTGCTGTTAAATATTTTGGAACAAATTAAAATCATTTTTTTTATTTTAGATTCAAATTGTAAAAATGATTTCAAAATAAAATATTTATTTTCATTATTTTTTTGCATTCAATGCACAACAAAGATAAATAAATATAAATAGAGTAAATTTTGAACGTAAGTGAGAGTTTTAAAGTTAAAAGGATCTTAACTAGAAAAACGTTTTAAAATTATCCAAATGTTAGATAAACTTTATTTGTTGAAATTAACAATGTCCTCACTTTGTTTCAGCTAAAGAATATCCTTTTGCAAAAAATTGTTCTCACAAAGGTTTGATTTATTTTGGAACCAAATTTACCTTGCAATTGCATATACATTTTGATAAAGGAACTCGTTTTGTTTGAACGGAAACTTAAATCAAAATAAGTTGTTTTATTTTATTTTAATGCCTGTATGAGAGCTAAAGAACAATTTGATCGAGTCTTGTAAAATTTTTAAAAATTTTTACCTAAAGAATTCGTTGATGTGCTTAAGTTTACAGATCTTATTTTGGTTTTTCTTTGTATTTTTAATTCATACTTAACTATTTTTTTTGTGGATCTTAATGTGGGTGAGAGCGTTTGTTTGTGTGTCTTTAGCTGTGATTGCATTTGTTTTCTATCCTGACCTAGACTCTGTGAAGGTGTGTTTGCTCTCTGCTCTCATTCTTATGTTTTGTTCTTAATTTTTCATAAAGGAACTTGTTTAACTTTATTTTATCCAGTTTGTTGTGAGAATGTTATTTTTCAATGGAAACAATTAAAGGAAAGCAAATAAAATCAACAACTTTGTTTGTGTTCTTTTTGTTTTAATTACAAATTATTCTAAATTTAAATTTTATTTGTATTTTTTTTTTATTTTAGTAGAATTTTTGAATTAAGAGTGCTAAATTTTTGCTGTTCTTTTATATTATATTTTTTTCGAATTTTGCGAGTATAATTTTGTGTTTAAATGATTTTATAGTTTTTATTTTTGCCTTATTGACTATTTTGTATGCGTGTGTGTAAGTGTTGGGTGTTTAGGTGAGTATATTTTTATGAGAGTATGTAGGATATTTTCGGTTTGTAGTAGCAGTAGAAAATATGAGTATGATGTTGATGCTGATGTTCTGTGATTGTTGTTTAACTACAATTCTTGTAAAAAATTGTTTTCCTACTTGAGATTTGTTTCTTTTTATTTAATATTTCAAATCATACCTGGATGGCTCAGTATTTGTATTTGTTAAACACTTTTTTATCTTGTTCTTTCTCTCTCTTGTATGTGTTGTTTATTTCATTCGAATTATGTTAGGGCACACTTTTTATTTTCTTTAAATCATTTTCTCTTACTTTTGGTGATTTACTTCATTCTCTGTAATATTTATCTTTGTATCATTATGATCTTTGATAAGTTTACAACTACTTTTATTTATATTTGTTTGTTTGTTTGTTAGTTTTTTTTTTGTGTTTTGGGGGGTTTCTTAAGATTTTATTCTTCATTATCAAATTCTATTTTGATCACTTGCTCTCCTATGTCCAATTTAAGTGTTTTATTTCCTGGATCCGCGTTCACCTCCACAATGACAGCTGGATATTATCCACGATCATCATCGCGTGCGGCGAACAGGGTTCGCAAAGTTCTGGTGATGATATTCCACCAGCCCTCTGCGAACCCAAGTGGACGCTATAAGTTCGTATCGCTGCCCATTTTTAACAGTTCGAACTTCTTTTTGGCGATTTTCGAATATAATATATCGATAGGCTGCGATTGATCATATAAACTAGGGGCCTGTAATATAATCCAGGCAGTGCCTACCACACAAGATATGGTAAATATCCAAAGGAACAAACGATCCAATACCATGGCCACATATTTCCAATCTTCTTCAACCTGCAAATATAAAAGGAGCAAAATAAATCATAAATAAAATTGAATTGTATTTAATTAAAAATCAATTCAATTTTATATTTTAATTCTAAGGCTAATGATGTCAATCCTAATACTAAAACACTAAAGAAAAAATAAACATATTAAATCAAATTTCCAAACAAAGTGTAGTGTTAAGAATTAGAGCGTGATAAATCCTTAAATCAACTTTGCTGTTTTTCTTTTATTCTATTTATTTCCATTTTGATTTTTGCTGTTTTCGATAAATTTTAATCAATTCAATTTAGTTGGTTACATGATATTGACTAAAAATGGTCGCCATCAACACCATTCACAAAAAAAAAAATTTGGGAAGGTTAGAAGCACTTGAAAAAGAAGAAAACACGAAATCGTAAAAACTTTACATTAAATTTGATTTAAATGAGATTTACCACAGTCATCTGTACAGTATGACATAAATACATACATACATATATAGGCACCCATTCTAACATATATACATACATTTATTCAATCTATCATTCATTCATTTATTCATTTAATATGTACTTAATATTTGTTTGTATGAGTTTTATATATACCCTGCCACCAACTCAACTAACTTCTAATGCACTAAAATTCAAACTTTTCTCGGTTATACTTGGAATATTTTAATGGAACTGAACTGTTTTAACATTACGATGTCATAGGCTGTAGTCAATTGTACTACTCTCAAATTTTGGGAAAATTCTTCATTACACTTTAGGTTACTAATAGTAGTATTACGTAAAAGTGTCAACTATCAAATTGCTGGCAGGGTTAGCTAATCGTGTATTTGTATTGATGTAAAATTTACATTATGCAGAACAAAATTAAACTGAACTTGGAATGGTGCTGATGTTAATACCATTTTGATGATTTGAATGTAAAATGGAGCAAAGCTAATGATTGGTGTGGTAGGTGGCAAAAAATTGGGTTATAACAACTCAATGATGCCGGTAATGATTTTTTAGTGGTGACAGTAGCTCACTAAGATAGACATGGGTAAGCTTCATTGGAATATTTCATGTTTATCTTGATTAGAGAAGATCAAAGACCTACAAAAGCGCTTGAAAATTTGTCATATACATGCATAGATTTGCATTAAATTTGTTAGTTTATTTTCTTTTCATACTTACACTTTCAAACTTATCCTTGTTTTTCATATGTTGAGCAATAAAACGTGAACCCTCGATTGTTTTCTCCATTTCACCCACGTAAGGTTTGTCAAATGTGGGACTTAAATCGGCCTGACAACAACTAGGACTCAAATCACCATTGACAGTTGTCGGACTGAAGAGATCATCGTCCGCGCCAGGCAGTGGCAGTGCAGAAGGCAGGGGCGGATCACCGAAACATTGAGCAATACCCGCCGTTCCGGCAAATTCACTAAAACGTTGAGCAGGCAAAGCTGAAATTCACAAGAAAGCAAGACAAATTAATAGCAATTTATATTCTACATACATACATAGATACGTATATTATCAAAACGTTAACTTAAATATTTTTATTTAAGTACTTTTTTTTTTATATTGAAATGGGCTTCAGAAGAAGTAATTTGGTAGCTAAGGAAATGTTTTCAAAAAATTAATAAAACAAACTTTATTTTATATTTATTTGATTAAGCTATTCTACAATGTATATGTATGTATGTGTGTGTATATAAATATGAGTACGCACCCGAAATAAATAAAAAGAAATATTTTATTACAAAGCAACCAAATCGTGAAATTCTATTTACTCTGTTAGATATTTCCTCTTGTCTCAGACACACTCTTCTGACAATGTTTGCACAAAACGCACAAAAGGAAATGGAATTTACGACAATCATGAAGGAGGTGAGAGCATCTTAAATAAAATGAAACATATAAAACAACTTAGGGATCCGTTAAGGAAATAATGTTCTCGGTTGATTGTCGCCAAGTGCAGGGAGAGACATGAGAAAAAGAAAGAAATGTAAAGAATACGTGTCTGGACTTGAAAGCGGAAACGGAAATGCGACTACGTTTTGTAAATACAAACATAAGAGTGTATGTATTTAATGCTCTAACACTAAGTACAATAAAAACAAAATGATAGTAGCGTAAACTTTAGACACTCACAATACACAATCCACCAACACTTCCATACATACATAGTATACTAGCAAACATGCCCTTACTCAATTCCATGATGTCAATGAATATATTTCAGTGTTTGTTTGAGTGTGTAAAAAGTACATTTGCTTTAATTCAAGCCGGATTAAGTTTCCCAGTGCAAAGTTGTATGTGTGTATGCATGTGAGTATGTAATTTCAATTGCTCTGAAATTAAGTACGCGGGATTGAGTAAAAATTGAAAAACGTTTCTTCTTTTTTTATTGAGTATGATTTGTTTTCCCAATTGTTGGATTTTTCTTTTCATGTGTGAAATGAAAATATCCATTAAATAGCATACATATTCACCCTTTTACATACATATACATATGTGTATATGTATATCCTTTCCCAAATTGTTTAAAAATATTAAAGATATTGTTCTGTATTATATTATATTATAAAGTACTCGTTAATGTCAATTTAAAAATCTTTGAATTATGCTTCAGATGCATTGAAATACTTTCGTTAATATTATTTAATTTTCTTTTAAAATTTATTAGGTTTTATTTATTTACATAAACTTAAAAACAACAGCATCTAATGTTGTTTTAGTAAGTAGTGTTGTATGAAGTTTTAAGCAATTCGATGGATTCTATATTAAGGTTTTATCTGCAATGGAAATATTGAAAACGTTTAAAATTTTTCACACTTGAAATGGTAAACATCGGGAAGAACATTTATCAAAACGGACAGAAATTTGCTATTAACACTATAATAGACTCTGATAATTGACATTTAAATTTTTGGAAGTAAACAATTTAAATCAAATCAAAGATTTTTGTTGAACTTTGAAATGTTGGAAGTTTTACACTTATGGGCATATACTTTAAGAAAATTTTAACATGTTTTTCAATTTTCATATCGAGATATTTTAACATTGGAAAGAGTTTTTATTCAAAAAGTGCATTCTACATAAAAAAACCGAGAATATCTACCCACTACAGACGACAAGGAAATATTAATAATATAAATCTTGCACAATGTTAAAAACAATAATACTTTTACACATAACAAACTTTTATAATTATTTACGCTTCAAAAATCAACAAAATCATAATGATGAAAATAAGAGAAAATAATAATAAAGAAACTTAAACTATAAATACAAAGTGTCCGTGTATTAAAATTTACAAGTAAATTTGTAGCTTTTTTATTTTAAGTAAAAAATTCATGCCGTTTAGCAGTTAGTGATTAAACTGAAACAAACTATCACAAAAAAATGCTTTTTACTGCATTTCTAAACATGTTTAATTATCTTCTTGAACTTGTTCTATACTTTACATTACATCTTTAAGAAAGTAAAGTACTCTACACTGCAATGCATTTATTTAGTTTAAAACTATTAATATAATCACAATAATATTGTTACTTTTATGTATAAAAAAATAATAATTAATTGAAATTCAAGTTATAGCAAAACTTTTTATTACATATTTTATTGCTCTAAGATTTATGATTTTTTCTGTTACTTTTAGTAAAAAAAATTCAATGTATTTTACCTCTAAGAAATGCCAATAATAAGACCATATGAAACCCTACGCCAGTTATGAGTATGTTTAAGTGTTTTATAATGAAATATATGTCCCAACTACATACTATATTTTTATAATATTTCTTGACTTTAAACTGATTTTCTAAAAGCGACTTTGTATTGTATCACGAAAGAGTCATAACGAAAATCGGTATGATTTTTATTTTTATAAAACAATGCTGATTCTATTTTTATAAAGAAAGAAGCGTTTCAACAAATGTTTTAGTTGTTTGGATGTGTTTTAATCCGATTTAATATTGAAAATTCCGACCAGTACTTTAATAACAATGGTCGGGTGAATATCGGATGGCTAACGCCACTATAGTGGTGTAAGGTATAAAAATTGAAAGCAATTGCATAAGTTGTCTAAATAGACTTTCAGAAACACTAACAACATAACGACAAAATACATATGCATACTGGTAATTCCTTTTGTTAACTATATTGTCGTAGGTTTAGATGTAAACTAAGTATTTAATGAAATTGTGTCAGATACATATTTATTTTTAGAAATCTTTTAAATAACACAAGAAAATATTGTAACTATGTTTTGACTTTTGTACTCCTAAAATATTTAATCAATAGCTAACCGGTATAACAATTTTAACTTAAGAAATCGAAATATCACAATTAAATTTATATTAAAAAAATAATTCTAAATTTACCTGGTATACCATAATCGCCGCTAAATCGTTTTGTATCATAATTAACAAACTTGTCGACATCTGGCGGCAGATGAAAGACATCTGTTAAAACTTCTTGAGGCTGATCGTCCTCCTCGTCGTTTGATTCGTCTTTTTTGGGACGTTCAATACACAAGAGTTTCGGTAAAATATCTATGAATACCTTTTGAACCCAAGGGGCCATTCTATGTGTCACTGGAGACCTATAAAACGATTTGAAGAAAGAAAAATATAAAAAAAATACAAATACATTATTACAGATACAGGGTAAATGTGAAATAAAATAATTACCTAAAATTAACATTTAGTACCGCAATGGTAACTACAACCGAGAGCGTAACTAACATCATGGTAAATAGTAAATATTTTCCCAGCAGAGGCACCGTTAATGATGTGGGCGGTATAATTTCCGCGAGCAGTAGAAAAAACACAGTCAACGACAGTAAGATACTTATACACAAGGAAATCTTTTCGCCCGAATCACTGGGTAAATAGAAAACCAAGACGGATAGGAATGATATACCCACACAGGGTATAATTAGATTGACGGTGTAGAAGAGTGTCTTTCGTCGCAGCGTTAGATTAAAGACAATATCCAAATATGGTTCTTCACAGCAACTATAAAATTTCTCATTTCGTACTGCCGGCACGCGCATTATGTCCCACTCTACCGATATATAATAGTCCTGAAGGTCAATGCCAACTTCAATGTTATCGGAATCCGGCGTTTGTTTAAGATGCCTTAAATCGACCTACAAACAATTGACAATTGAAAAATAAAGAATAAATAAAAATTATTTATTAAATTACTCAATTGTAATTTCATCAATTCATAAATAAACTTGTTTATACAAGTACTTATTTTTTATTGTGTTTTATATTCCAACATTTATTTAGGTATTCTGTATGAAAATGATAAAGGAATGATGGATTCCAAATAGCACGGCATTAAATTTTATTTTTTATTTTTTTCTTTCTTTTTAAGCACGTGTAGGGGAATGACATAGCCACAGCAGACACAGGGACAGTAAAATCAATGATGCGTGTTGAATATTTGAAAAACAGTTTGTTTGATGGCGAAAATAAAATAATAGAAAAACAAATAAATAATCACAAAATAAATGGGCGTGTGACAAAAACTTGTCAAATATAGTGAAAACTCACATTTTTTAATGAAATGAATAGAAAACAAAAGTAATCTCATATTAGACACAGCATTTTTATTCGTTAAAAAAGAAAACTTACTGACATCGACATATGTACTATGTATGATGCATGCGAGTGTATAAAATACTTATATTCACTCGAACATTGATGGATAAACATCAAGTAAATTGAGCAACAGTTTATGGTAGGTATGTGTGGATATGTAAATAGAAACATGTTGAGGAAGTTAAATGTGTACATGAGATTTAAATTGAAGTTTAAGTTGAAAACATATTATTTTCAACACAAATAGTAACGAACAATAAAAATGTGAACACCCATCTGTTTGCCTTAATGGCCGCCATTTTCTTTTTGTTTATTTGACAGCTGGTTATTTTTCAAAAAGTCATTTATTGTTGTTAGTTCATTAAACGCACGCACACACATCTAGCCACCCACATCTGGTTTCTTGCTATACCCCAGTGCGTATGAGTGACACATGATTCATTCAACAATACACCAACATAAAGCATACGCACCGTTTGACAACATACAACTGTTACATCTGGAAGAAAATACAATTTTGACTGCTACAAAGATGGCTTCTTTGTTCTAAACAGTTGTGGGGCTTCTTGGTGGATCAAAACAACAACAAAAAATATAAAGATTGTAAATTTGAAATTTTGCTAAATATGTTCATGTGTGAGTGTGTTCGCGTAGAGATACCAAATAAAATGTGCAGATGTCAATGGGCCGAATGTACATAAAACATACTTATATTTGATTGTCAAAGTTCGCAGTTGTTATTTTTAGTTTTTTTTTCGTTCTGCTAACTTTCTAATCATTTTCGAGTTTACGCTTAACATTTCTCAAAATAAATAAAAAATGACTAGAGTTAAAAGGGAAAATGAAACGGAACAAATAACGTTAGATAACTCTCCGAACAAATACTATATGTTCATTCATATAACGAGAAGTAGGTAAGTGTGTGTAGACTGTGTGTTGATAAAGATTGTTAAAAAGTAATTTTCACAAATAAATCTGACAGCGGCACATAAACGCACTTTTTCATACAATCACTTACAAACATCTAAGCATAGTCATTTTATTAACTTAACTTGAAGGAACAGAACCGACAAACAGACATTTACAATGATTTAAAATTGAGATTAATGTCATGTTTATTTCTTGTAAATTATAAAAATTGTGTGAATTTATTATATTTTCATTTTATGTTCTTTTTTCTCTTCTTGTTTCTATTATTTATTGTTAATACTGTTGCTGTTGGTCTATATAAAAAATATGTTGTTGTAAAAAAAAAATAAAGAAAAGAATAAACTTTAGTTAAAACTCACCATGTAACCATCATAAGTCCATGAACCGAATTTCATAAAGCATGTCTGCTCATCGAATGGAAAATATTCAACATCGATTTCACAAAATGATTTATAAATGGCAGGAGGTTTCCACACCACTTTGCCGGTATGATGGAGAATTGCTTTTGTCATTATTGTCACTTCGTAATTACCATCAGCACTGAAAATTTAATAAATATAAGTAGAAGAGAGTTAAGTTTTTTTTTTTTTTAAATTTAAAATATAAAATTTCATTGAATACATTCAATTTGAATGTACTATCGATTGAGGTTTTAAATGTTTAAAGTTTTCTGAAAAATAATTTTTTAATTTTGACAAGTGTGATTTTATAGAAATCTTTTCAAAACTGCGACCACTTTTCCAAGATTTACATGTATAGACGAAAAATAAATAAATTTAAGTATGTTCGTTCATATACGGTTTTCTAGATGATATGGCCTTACTGTCCTGTAGTTGCTGTGATTTTATCAGTAGTATTAAAAAAGATTCTTCGTAGACAAATTTGTAATGTCGTTTGATTATATAAAAGTAGCAATAGATATAAAATCGTGTGTACAAACACATACATATATTTTATATGTACATTTGTATAGTAAGTATTAAGTTCTTAATATTACTACTAATACATATTCAAATACATGTACATACACACTAACAGATACGTTCATATACATACTTAAGTACTACGTTTGTATGTCCTGGCTGTTTGCCATCTTTTTACGTTTTGCTCTTAGTTACACAAGAAGTGATTGTAAAGTACAGACAATTTAAGTCTGTAATGTCTCTTATTATAAGCCTAGAAAACTGAAATAACAAAACAAAAAATAAATTTTATAAAACGAAAAACTAAATGGAATGAAATGAAAATAAAATAAAATTTCCAGCAAGTCAAAGAACGTTTGTATGCTGCTTAATTCCAGCAATTAATTTTTATGATGATCTCAGAAATTAAAATTCACTCCAGCCAGAAAAACCGGAGAAAAATGGGGAAAAAACAAAAACAAAATGCTACTTAATTCTTAACTTTTTTCTTTTCAGACCCAGACAACAGACACTTTTTATACCGCACAATATATTTATTTTTTATGTGGACGGATACAAAGTGCAAAGTGGAAGAAGGCATTTGCTCATTACATTATATTTGTATGTGTGAATTTGTGTATGAATCTGTACATCTATTTATGTGTGTTGGAAAGTAAACAACATTAATGAACCCTTCCTACGTGTCATTGTCGTTATCTGTTCTTTACTGTATTGCTTCTTTTCCCTCTTCCCGTCTGCTGGTTTTTCCAAACAAAAAGAAAGGAAAAAAACAAGCGTAAATAAGTCGGGTTGCTGCCGCACTGTCACTGTATGTATTTAATTTTATTTTAATGCAAAATAATCATTGTAAACAAATTCATTTGATTGAGCGGAAATTGATACAAATAATCTGGTTTAATGATAATGATTTTATATTTTTCTTAGAAGATTAAAGTATTAAAATTTTCTGAAAGTTTTTCTTTTTCATTAAGAACAATATAGATAAATTTGAAAAAAGAGATTTGTATCAATCAACTTATGTATGTATATGTTTGTAATTTTATCTGCCAAGCAATTAATTCAATTTCTGGTCTGGATTTTACGTTATGTTTCACAAAAGACATTTACGTTTGTCTGTTTTTCTGTGGTTTATTTTTCATTTAACGGGTATTTGCTGTAGTTTATGTATTTTCAAAATTAACTTTTTTCTTTTTTTCTTTTTATCTTTGCATTTTTCTTTTTAACGACGACACATGGTCTAAAAATATTTCATTGATAATAGAATTAAAAGATATCTTAGATAATGAACTTGTCAACTGCAAACATTTAATTAAAAAAGCAGCAACGGAAAAAAATGAATCATGTGAAAAACAAGGCAAAGCACTTTAGGGAATATAAATCCAAAACTATAGAGATTCATACATGCTAGGACATACATACATACATACTGTAATCTAATGTCCATTCATAAATATAAAATGTTTTATACTAAAAGATGGACCAATAAACTGTCTCATACACATATTGAATTTTAACATGAATTTATGTTTGAGTATAAAATAGATTTTATTTGATCATACTGGATTTATCTAAATTTACCAATGAATATTTTCTGAATTTGATTATTTTTGAGAACTTTAAATTTTGGAAGAGATCTAAGAGATTTGGTTCTTGGAAACTCAGATTACGATGTTAATTAACACATTAATACATAAAAAAAATCTCAAAATATGGGCACACTTATCCATAATCACTTATATCACAATGAGGGTGTGAGAAACAGACACAGAAACATTCATTCAATGTACATACAATCAATACATAAAATCAACATAAAACGCAGATAAAATCGGTTGACATTCAATAAACAAAAAACAAATAAAAATATTTATACAATTTATTAAATATAAAAATAGTTATGTTTAAAAAAGAATCCAAGTTAAACTTATCTACATACACCTACATACGTACATATGTATGTATTCAAATAAACCCAATAAAACGAATTTTACACTTTCACGCACACAAATTTACAGTTACATTTTCGACAAATGTGTATTTGTATTTTACAAATAATACAATACACATGAATATGTATATACAAATATGTATATAAAATATAATCTGGTGGTAAACAGACAATCCCAAACAACAAATAAATAAATATTTTTTATGCTTATGAAATTCAAAAAATGTACTTTAAAACACATAAAATATAATCCAAAAACCAAAAATTTTATAGGAAATATTAGTTTATTAATTTATTACTTTATCAAGTACTTGATTTAAGTTATTCAGTTAATGGCAAAATCAGTGAATGGATGTACAGCAACAAAAATCTTCAAACATTTATTCGTTAAGGCATTTCAGTGTAAATTGCTTTTATTCAGTTGTTAGCGGTAAAGAAAAACTTTTGCAACAAAGCGGTATTGAAAATACAAGCAAACATAGTTTTCAGCTAAAGGTCTCAAGTGTTGAGTAAACAGTGCGTAACAGTGTCACCAAAACCAATAAATTATTGTGCTTTGAGATCCCATTTGAATAAAAAACCATACTAAACAAAACCAAAACTAAAAAGCATCTGAAAAACAAATTCTCCTCTAATGTGCAATTGAAATAGTGCATAAAAAGCACATGCATATGTATACATACATTAGAAACAAACGTATTTGAAAATGTCCCGAGTAAACAAATTCCTACAGCTTTACACATACATACATACATTTGTATATCTGTCATCACACTCAATAATAGCCTATATGGGGACTAGTGTCAAAATTCGACCGATTTTTGCAATTTCTTACATCTCCCATCTTTTATAAAATTGTACAAAAGAAAAGAAATTATAAAATTTTTAATGTCTTTTTAGAAAGTCGTCTTAGGTGGTTATAGCTTGTAAGCACAGATGTACATAAGTATGTATGTATACATATGTAGCTGAATAGGTTTGTGTTAACATGTATCTGTTATTCAGTAAGTGTGAATGAGTTTGAATTAACGAGGTAAAATATTTATATTCATTTGTGCCCCTGAATGGTTTAACATTGTACAGGTAGTTGCTTTGTAAATTTCTAAAATAATAATTTTTGTCAAATTAAATTTTACTTAAAAGTGGTTTCCTGCATATTTTGGTTTATGTTTACCATTTTGCTGTTTACCAGATTTACAGTTACATGATTTTATGTTTCAATAAATGTGCATGTGGTGGTACACACGCTGAGGGTTTACGAAATTATGGACTTTTTATTTCCTGAGAAATTAAAATAAAGGTATTTAACATTAAACAATTTTGGTGCAATATGAGTAATTTCGTGTCAAGTAACCCAACTTTTAAAATCGATGTCTTCCGGTTTGGACATTTTTGTTGTATTTTTTTTTTGCTTAAATGTAAGCTTAGATCATTTCCTTTAAGAGCTTTGTCATTACTTAGTGGGATGCGAGAGATGCAATGGTTTTGAGTTAAAATATTTTTTTTAATATTCCCCTTGCATCCCACTAAGTGACCACAAAGCTTTTAAAGGAAATGGTCTAAGCTTTCCGTTCATTTTGCAAAAATAGGGAAAAAGTAAGTACCAAATATTGAAAAAATCTTATTCTTAAGTTAATAAATAATTTTTATAAAGCCCTTAAAGGAAATTGTCTAATCTATATGGATTTCTTTGGACAATTTTTGCTAGGACCAAAAGGTGAAAAGTTACACTCATTTGAATAAAACCCTGTATGACCAAAATGTCCAACTTCCTCTAACTCCGGCAGATCTTGACCGAAATTTTGTGCCTGGCCTACTATCCAATAGTACTAGCAAATTTCATCAAAATCGATTTTTTGAGTTGGGTCACTTGACATGAAATTGCCCATATATTAACGTAATGTCTAAAATTCTATATTATCGTTACGTTAAGAAAGTATAACCTTTAAGCTTTCGATCACACATTAATTTTCAATTTTGATTTAATTTCAATTGGTAACAAAATTTAGGTTTTTCGTGATTAACAACTTCATATGAAAAATATTTTCACAGAACATTATTTATAATATTAAATTGATAGTTTATATAAATGCAGAGATTAAAGAAAAAATTTCCCGCGAATATAAATAAAATTTGCCACGTAAGAATTTTCATTCTCCAAACCCTAACACGGTGTCATTAAAGCCACTATAATTCATATTTGTAAAATGAAAATGCCATTGCTGGAACAACATACCAAAACACCACCACATTACACCACATACCTATATATATACGTAAGTATGTATGTACGTATATATACACAATAGTATTAGCAATGAATGAATGGTTGAAACATTGTTCACCAAACAGTTTTATAAATGTTTTAAAATTCTTATAAAAACTGTGTCAATTGCAAATGCTACAACACATACATATATTTATGTACATGTGGTTATCTCAATTGTAGAAAAATACGCATTTTGAAATTTGTAAATTACCACACGGCCATCTATTTACCATATTTATTTTTACAATCATTACTTTGTCCATGCCTTTTGGCAAATATATGCCAATGTGGGTCTGTTCGGTTAAGTTTCACTTTGGTAGTTTACTATACATTCATTTGCATCATTCATTTATTTATTTGCCATTTTTACTATTTTTATTTTTATTTCTATTTTTGACAATACATGTTGGTGGCTGTTGTTGTTTTAAAACAATCTAAAATTTATTATAGCGTTTAATATTTTTGTTTGTGCAAGGAATGTGTTACATACATACATATTTTCAGGCTTAACAGATTTCATTGTTTTTAATTGACACTAACGGCTATAAATTATAATTAGTAGAATAATATTGCTGCCTATTCATAAGTATGTAGTATGAAGTGTGTATTTGTATATCCTATTTACTATGATATAAAAAGTATACAATTTGTATAGATTTTTATTTACAATAACTAAAACAAATATTACTTTTAACAATACAAATGTTTTGAAATAACATAAATATTTATAATATTTTATGCAAGTGAATTTATTTACTTATTTATATGAAACATTTATTTCTACACTACTATTTATCTTTAGAAAATAATTAAAATTAACTAAATCCAAAGAGAGAGAGAGGGAGAGAGAAAAGGGAACGGAAACAAAGTAAAACTTTTAAACTATATCAGTGCGCTAAAGTTGGCTGTAATGGCAATTTCCTTGTCTTGCGTTAATTAGTTATAATTTGTTATATTATAATTGGCTTTCTCAAGTTTTAACATAAATTATCCTTCCGAAAACATCAAATTTGAGCTGAGTATAAGATACACTAATTATAATAATTTGTTTGTATACTGTGATACTCTCAACAAAGTACCATTGCCGTTGCCATTGGTACACCCACCACCACTATCGCTACCACGACAAACAATAAACTAATACATTCAGTAGTAACCATATTAAAAGCTGAAACAAAATCCATGGCAAAGCTGATGATGACTAGCAACAGCAGCCACTACAATAATAACAACAACAATGTCAGTAATAGTAGTAGTTGTAGCAGTGATAGCAACAGTAGCAGAAGCATCGGCTTAACATTTATAAAACACAAAAGTCTGAAAAGTAAATAAAGTGATGGGTCCTACAAACAAACGATTATCATTCTAAAAACACCCACTTGAAAAGCCAAGTGAAAAAAATATCAAACAATTCAAACAGCAACCAACTAAAGCTGCAAGAAGAAACAATAAATGAAATTGTATACGTATTTGATATCATAAATATTTTCATACGCCCTCCCACACTTTTACTATCTTTCCCTTTTTATTTATCTTTTTTTTTTGTATTTTGGCTAAAGGTCCGGCATAAAAACTGAAATATTAGCAGGCCAATTTCTTGTTTATGTTTGAAATGAGTTTGAGAATGTATCAAAGTAAAGAATTCCATGAAAATTGAATTAAAAGGTTTCTTTTTAAAAGACATATCAAATTTTGAAGGAAACTCAAAAAACGATTTAGTTTTTATATTCTGTAATGCATATTACTTTATAAATATTACTATTTTTTCTCTTTTAAGAATAAAACTTCAAATGTTCAAATAATCATACAAAAGCATTACACTCATAACTGCACAATTGTTGGTTATTTAAATTAATTTAGTTAAAATGCACTTTCTAAATTCAAATTCCTTTTAATAGTTACGTGAACTCTAAACCAACTCTCATTTACAAAGGAAATTCTCAATTATATTTAAACAATAAATTTTACTTTCAATTGTTGTGTATATTTGTATTTCAAGTGTTAATTATCTTTAAAATACTATTGATTAATTTGATTTAATTCGATTAAATTTATTTACTTGACTAATTATGAGTTAAATGTGAATATGTACAGTATGTGAGTAAAAGTAAGTACTTACTTGTTGTATAGAACAATATCCGGCAACCAAATATGCTCAGAAGGTACGTGTAACGTGTCAACGCCACCATAATCATCTGGATTCCATTTTAATTTGTAGTCATTCCATTCCTAAAAAAAGCAGAATATAAATCAAATCGTACGTGAATATTAAAATATACAACCATCAGCACTGAAAATTACATTTAAATACGTAAAATAGAACAATGCATAAAAATCTAATTAAAATATGAATAAATTATTGAAAATAAAATGAGCACAATAAAACAAAGGAAAAAACAGCTCAAATAAAAGAAAACAAAAACTTTTAGTTCACTGTTTGTTTGTTTATGTATATTATTTGCTTTTTTTTCACACACATACATAAATTCATTTCATAGACTAGAGTTCATTTGGTAAACACCCTACAGTATGAGAAGTGCATATCCAACTTACAAGTTTTCTCTGGTAAATAAAGTGGTCGATATTTTGTTGAAACGTTCACTAAATTTCACCATTGTAATCAATAGTTCACATTTGATAAATTTTGTCATAAAGTTTATGAAAATAAATTTCATAAAATTTAAATGTTTCAAAAATGTTACTTTGATAGCCATATGTAGTGCTTAAAGTAACCGCATGTCACATTTCTGATGAAAAGTAATGTGGTAAGAAACTCAATCGACACATTACTCTCCCCGAGTAATGTAGAGAGTAGGCAATTGAAAACTTATCCTTTGCATTGTATTTCAGAAAGTAGTTATATAAACTGCCGGTGATGTGCACAAAGAGTCAATTGACTTCCTCCTTGGATAAGTTCATGTTAAAGTAACTAGTCAAATAGCTTACACTGGTGCTGGTATTAAGACACAATAGTATGTTAATCAGTAGTTCTTAACTACTATCCCATAGTGCAGGGAGACATACATACTATGTAGATGTGTGTGCTATGTCAAAAAAAAAAAAAAACACACATTTATATATACATTTATGATTATTGTATCTATGTTTGAATAATTTTTATTTTGTGTTATGCGTTGTTCAGTTGTACATACATGCATATGTATGTATGTGTCTATATTGCAATTGATAAAGTAGTTTGTTGTTGTGATTATAACAATTATTTTACATTCATTTTTATGGCGTTAATTTATTTAAGTTGGTAAAATTAAATTTTCATTTATGACAGATAATTGTGCTTAAATAAAAATAACAACTTTTTAAATATTCATCCAGAGCATAAAATACAGTTATATGTATGTATTTGCACTTAATCTGAGAAATATTTTGCATAATTGTAAATCATATACAATGTATGTATATATATACGTACGTTTTAATTATCGAAGATGTCTTCTCAAAAGTAAATAAACATTTTTTGATATACTACTTGAATTGAATTTTAATGATATATTATGTTTCAAATGTTATTTTACTTGAGAACGTATGAGTGATATATGTATGTTACAAATATCTTTTATTTCACATACGTTGACAATATTTGTATGAAAATTACTCAATTTTTTAAAAAAAATTAAATTTAAATTGTATCTTGTAGTGGCCGTTCTACGGGAACCTGTTTATACGCTTTAAAATATTTTTTGAAAGTTAGTTTTTGTCGAATATTATTTTGAATTCTATATTTGTATCAGTTATTCGAAGCTTAAATCGAGTGACTCGAGTCATTCGATTTAAACTGTCATATGCAAATATATTGTTTTATTTTTCTAATAAAAAAAAATGTTATTACTAAACTAAATAAATTAAAACTATGACATTTTTTTTAATATAAGTTGACACTCAAAATTTACCTGTTCTACCCACACATTCGTCGTCATGATTTGATTTTTTAAATTCTGCAAATAAAAAATAGAGAAAAACATGTTTATTGGATTATTTCTTAAATTAATACAAATGGAAAATAAATTTAAATAAAATATATATTTTTTTTCAATTCTTAACATAAGTTGAGAGTTTAAATAAATAATTCATATTAGAGTTCATTAAACAATGAATTTGATAGACATTCGTACATATGTACATTAGAGGTGCCAGAAAAAAATATGAAGTTTGCTTGGAGGGGTCTTGTTTTGTTCATTAGTGTCTAAAACTAGTTAGTTAGTCCTGTTGTGCGCTCCTTAACCAGTGCCACAGGTGGGAATCGAACCCACCACCACCGGTCTACCAGACTAGAACACTAACCACTAACCTATCGGAGGCCAGGTATCTCTTTATACCTCTAACGAGATATAAAATATTAATATCAAAGGTCAAACAACAAAGTTTACAATTTTCCAAAGTCGTATTATTTACCAAAGTTTACACTTTTCAGCCGACTTCCGAAACAAGATCACGTTATCTGATTGGGCTAAAGTTTTACACAAGTAAGTTTTAGACACTAATAAATAAAATAAGACCTATCCAAACAAAATTGATATTTTTTGGGCATCCCTAATGTACATTTATATTTTGTATTCACTTGGAGTAAAATGTCAAAAGAATGCATCAAATTCAATTTGAATTTTTAATTTCGTTTACAAATATTTTTATAGTTTTTTTTCCAATGTACATATGTATAAAAGATGTATCAATAATAACATATCTATACACACATACATATGTATGTATGTATGTATGTATATAAATATAAACATGAATATGTTTGTAATTCATATGCAGCACATGAAAATATAAATATTTACATCATGTAGGTGTCATTTGTCTTCCTCTGATAACAAATAAAATTGTTTCATTAAATATGCATTTTATGTCTTAAAAATTGCTGTTGATGTAGAAAAGGCAAATCTAATATTTAATTTCAATTTTCAAATACTACAAATTTCGATAAAACTTCAATAAATAGGAAAATCAAAATGCTTCTCTTGTTACCGATAAATAAATATACGATATACGCAAAATATATATACGATTGTAACAATTTAATATAAGAATGTTTATCGTCTTCTTTACGAATGACAAAATAACTATTTATTTTTTGTAATAAGTAGTGTTTTGGTGGTGCTGCTGCTAAATTACATACTATTTATGGCAACTTGATAAAATTTACGAACGAAGTTACATACAACATGTGCAAAAAAAAATCGATTTTATTTACGTTCGTCTCTGAATAAAACTAATTCTGCATTCTTTTGTGTAGAATTCCTAACTATGAAGAAAATATTCAATTAATGACTACTACGTGTGCTTACAAATTCAAAGTGCACGAAATTCTCAATTGTTGATTTTAAGTTGAATTTTTCAATCTACTTTTGCATACGTCCCCTAAATCATTCCTGCTTATTTCAATTGTTTAATTTACATACCAAAATGCATCTTACACACAAATACTTGTACAATTTTATTTAGTCATTCATTCATTCGCTTACTCGTTTTATTCATTCATTCATTCATCCATTTATCAATTCGTTCAGTTTTCTTCTTCTACTCCCACTATGAGAGCGTAAGAATGTTTTTTGCTTAAGTATGTGAATGTAATGAAATGCAATAAATTTATTTTCTTGCCATTTTTATTTGTTAACGAAATCGTTTGTTATATTCCCCTTGTTCATTTACGTGTCTATGTGTTATTTATATGTATTAGGGTGGTACATTTAGATTCTCCTAAAAATTTCTGGTGTTGCCAATTATATAAAAGTTTAATTCAGTCTCAAAATATAATAAAAATATCGTTTTAGTAATTTTTTTCATATATGCATATATATATATATCTGCTTTGAATGACGACGTACATGACGATTTTTTTATTTAATTAAATTTTGAATTAGTTGCACTACATTTTGTTTGAGGACCATCCTTATGCATATATAGTAAGAAGTAATAAGTTATATAATTGCGAAAGTTTAAATTAAGGATAAATACATATATGTACATATGTTCATAAATGTCATTAAATATTTATTGTCTTTTTACTCACAAACCTAACACAGGGAGCCAAAATAAACTAAAATAGAAATACTTGGGAAAGTATGCTATTTTTCTGATAGGTATTATCGAGTTGAACAAGAATCTGTTTTTGAAGTTTGCCAAAGATCTTCAAAATCTTGAGACACGGGTAAAAAACCGGGCACTTATAAATCGGTAATTTAGTTGAATTCAGATTCTTAGCAGATTTTTAAAGAAGTAGCTGACGCGTTTATAATGGCATTTATAAAGAACATACATACATATGTGGTTGCATTTCATCAAAGTATGTATATTCCGGGTCCTTAATAAATTCTATGTCTGTCCGTCTGTTGACGCACGACAGGGTCCGAACGGAAAGAGCTGGAGGGCTCCGATATTGCAAATTAGCAATATCATCTACGTTTTCACACAGCCCCATACAAGTGGCCCCTCGGAAACAGTTTCAACTATCACAACGTTTTTTAAAAATTCAGGCTTAGCTATAAAATTAGTATAAACAACTTTTTTTTAATCCAAATCTCTCTACCAAGTTTTATGATGATCGGTCCATAATTCACCCTTAATTTCTATATAAGGTTCCCTTCAGAAATTGACTTTGACGGCGACGAATTCAACAAAAATGAAGGTCACTTTACCTAATTTTATGAAGATCGGTCAATAATTGGTCCTAACCTCCATATAAGGTACCTTTCAGAAAATGACTTTAACGTTCAAGTACAGCGATGAAATTCGACATAAACAAATTTAGTATGAACAAAAATCGCTGTACCAAATTTTATGGAGTTATGCCAGTCTTCAAGTATATCGGCGATATATAGACTTTTTTCATATAAATATGTGTGTGTGTGGAATATCATATATGTAGTAATAATTTGACTTCAACAATACATCCAATATAAATTGTTTAAAAGTCCAAACAACAATATGAGCATTTGTTTTACAATCAATCAGTGGGTTCAAAAAGTCATAAACACGTAAACAATAAACAGGGATTTCTTCAGTGAGTGGACGGTTGTAGGTAGCGATGTTTATTTCTCAGATGTACGGTGAAGTCAACAGCATTCAAACTATGAATGAAGAAAAAAGTGGTTAAAATTGTTCAATATACTACACGACAACAATGTAAATCCATTCACATTATACACATACATATGTATATGTATTAAATATTACGGAAATTTTTATAATCAGTAAAGAAAGGAAAGATATGTACTATGAACACATGTATAGTTTTAATCAAAATTCTAAAAATACTTAGCTAATGGTTCTTAAATTGTTTACTCCAATACCAACATTTCCCAATAATGATTTATATTTTGTAAATGTATTAATTTTTATTCATTGCTAATATTTTACATTGCGTTCCTGGATGGAGGCCGTCTTCCTGACATATTGTTAATTCAATTTTTCAAGGTGTTTTATCCAACATGACAATGAACCAGCAGGAACGAACCGTTAAGGAAAAACAATGGATATAAAATATGGCGAAGAGAAATATTATTATGTTTAAAGCTTTTAAATAATTATCGCAGATACTTAATGCAAACACGAACAAACAGGTTCACAAATAGATTACTGGTATACTGTAAGTGATCAATATGAGGCGACAAGGTATACGAGTAAATTTTTAAATATGTACTGCATACATGCTGTGTATTCATAAGAACACATAGTTTATATATACATACATATTTTTTAGATAATTCATTTATCACAACATTCAGTCTATATTTATGGACACCATTTATACAACATTAAGTGCTTTTGTTTAGTAGAAATTTAAAAGTAATGTATTCTATAGTAATTAAGAGAGGTATTAAAAAACAATTTGATGTGATTCTACAATAGTTAGTTTATCATGAGGAAGTTGGTAATACATACACATGTATTAACAAATGTTGAAACATTTTAAATAAAAAGCTAAAAATCACATAAAAATATACAATAATTTTTGTTTTTAAATGCTTTGTGTCAGCAATAAAAGCATTCGCAAATAAATGAATGGATGAAATTTACTGAAACTGTGCAATTATATTGAAATTTTAACATTAAAATCTATCTCAATAACTAATCCAAATAACAGTAAGCTAACATAAAGTTCTGTATTGTATATACATATACATTAGGGTATTCAAAAATAATATCGACATTTCCTATTTTTTATATTCATTTCTCATTGGAATATTGTCTTCATTAAGCTAAATCAGTTTTTTATCTCAATTGTACACAATAAATATATTTATTTCCATACAGATTAACAACCTTACTATTCATAATTAAATTTCCATACGATTACTTAACTATTTATGTATGAATGTGTTTGTTTATGAATGCAAATTTATATGTAAAGTACGAGTAAATTTTTGTTTTCCATACATATAAACAACCCTACTAATTCATAATTAAACTTCCACACGAGTACTTAACTATTTATGTGTGAATGTGTTTGTTTATGGATGCAAAGTACGAGTGAGTATATTTTGTATGTTCAAATACATTAATTTATGCGTGTATTTATACTAAATGTACCGAGAAGAACTTATGAAAATGACAGTAACAATTATAAACGGAGTTTGAAAGGCGAAAAACATTTATAGAACAACCATATTTAAGCAACAACAACAATTTAAGCTAAAACAAAACCGCATCATTTAATCAAATCAACAGCTATGACGGTGCACTTAATTTTGCTTAGCAATTACTGATTGGTTGGAAAGGATTTTGAATATGAATTTGAGAATGAATTTAATTAAAATGACGAAAATAGCTAAATGTTGCTTTGTTTATAATATTAACAAACACAGAGTGGGGAAGAGAACTCGATTTATTTAATTTTTACTATTGAGTATTGAATAGTCTATCTTATTGTGGAATTATTTTATTTAAGCATTAATTTATTTCCTTGTTCCTTCATTTCTTCATTGTTTTTTTTTTCTATAAAGACTAAAACGGATTTTTGGAAGTTCGTCAAAAGTTCATAAATGTCTGTGATGATTTATAATGGACTATGATGACGTATGGTTGGTAAAAGTTTGAAACCTTAACAAGCCTTTTCATAATTAATAATATTTTTCAAGAGTTTAGTTATTCCCACATACATATGTATACATTGTTGCAAAATCCAACTTCTTAATGTTTGCATACATATACTGATATTCACACATATGCTTTCAATCAGTTGTCAAACTTTCTTCAAAGCCCAAAAATATGTATAATTGAAATGTATAGTGTGAGTATTGAAGCTTGAATTGATTTATTTGATTGATGTAATAAGTATTATAATTTATAAGCGTATGAATATTTCTAAAAAAATCATTATTAATGCTTTATTATGATTTTTATAATATTTTCTTTATCTTTATATTTTCAGTAATATATCTAATCTAATAATAATAAATTGAAAATTTAGAATAAAACAAGTAAAATATAAAATTTTATGTAACATAATGGTACTTACAACATCAATTAATTGTGATAAACGTAAACCCATTTTGACCGTTAAACGATCAGAATTATTGCCAACAGGCCTTATCAAGCGATTGTAGTTACTCAAGAGATCGTCGTATAAACGTTTTGCATCTGGGTTGGCCAGGCCGCCGGTGGCAAAATGTAACGCTATGAACACAGCTGCAAACAGCACGCTCCCCATCTTAGGCCAGGTCCACCCCTAGAAGTATATTAAAACAAACAGATAAAATTAAAATATTAAGATTTTTAAAATAGAATTAAAAAATATTTATATAACTTAGAATTTAATTTGCACCTTAAAATTTTATAATTATTGTTTCTAACTAAGTATGAGTAGTTAGAAACAATAGTTGTTAGTTGGATAATATCCTGCCTAGACTTTTTTTAACGCGCTTACATACAAAGTGAGATTTGTAATACAAACAAATATTATGTACGAATCAGAAAAAACTTTGTCTCTATCTCCATAAAAATAACGTACAAACTTTTATATGTTCATATGTATTCTTATACCTACTTATGTGCATTTTCGTCCTTATAAATTATATTTACTGTAAACATTAACCAACACATGCCCTGTAAATTTGTTTATGTGTAACATGCATATGGAGATCTCTGCATACTTTACATACGGTTTTCTTCTTAAACTCGGTAGTTAAATACTTAAAGTCAGCATGTATCATTTACACATACAATTGTGCTGGTTGTTGTGTTTTGTTTCTTTTTTTTCATTATGATTTTTTGCACTATGAACGAGTAATGTATACTATATGTACAGTATAAATGTTGCATTTATTCATAGTTGTTGTTGCAAGTGTTATATTTCAAGTCGTAAATTTCTTAAACTGTCAAAACTATTTCCACATGAAAGTGTACTTATGCATGTACAAGTCTGAGAGTATGTGAGCTAGTGTATATGTATGTATGTATGTATGTGCACGTTTTCATTGAGTTTGGTTGCATGATCATTCTCAAACACCAGATGTTGCCATAGCATTTACAACCACATGAAATACAACTCATGCATACTCATACACAAGTATTTGCAGATTTAATCGAATTATAAAAATTATATGATGTATGATTTTAAATTAAACTTTTCTTATTAAATTTGATTCGGATTTATGCGGTTATAAAGTTTATATATCTCTTTCAATTATAAACATAAATATATGTATGAATGAATGTTATTTTTTGTTTAATTGGGTTCAGACTAATTAACATAATTTTAGATTTATGTTTTGACCATTTCAACTTTAGTAAGTACTACATATGTATATTTAATAAGTTTTTTAATTGACTTCGAATAACGAGTGAATTATAATTGTTTCAAAAATATTTTTTGATTTGTTCGATATGGCTAATTTTGAGTACAGTTTCACTCTAACGAATTTTGCATATGAGTTATAAAAATCTCTTTGGAAATAAAATATCTCTGCATGATGATGGCCTTAACTTAATTACAATAAATTCACTAACTTAAATGAAAACAATGTCACAATAACGCTGACAAAATATCAAAAATCATTTAAAACATGAAAATAATTTTAATATGATTAAAAAGCAACAACATATAACAATTAAATAATCGAAAAAAATCAATTAAAAATGTCTATATAAATATTTGTTGGTTTGCAGCAGTTGCTGATGTAAGACTTTCAATAAAGATTTTTAAATAAAGAAGAAAATACGAACAAAATTACATTAATTTGCATTGATAATACACTTTTAATGTTTTTTATATGAAAATGAGAGTTTATTTGTCTGTTTTTCTTTAAATATATTAAATATTGGAATTATGGAGGGATTTTAGTCGTAATAACTATTAACATCCAACAAACATTCATACAGATATATACATATATTTTTAAATGCATATAAAGTGAATTACATTATGATTATTTTTTTACGTAATACTTAATGGAAACATGGAAAAAATGAAACTCATACAGCTTGTTATAGTTTTCTGTTTGTATTAAATTGATTTCTTGTCATCATCATCATCATCATCGGTACATTATTGGTTCAACATGACGTATGATTAACTCTTAATTGCATGCACAACTGCATACATTGTACAGGATTTAATTAAATACAAATATAATTTATATTTAATTTAATTTAGCTCTTGTACATATTAACATCATGTCCGATTAAAAGTTGTTATATATTTTTTAAAATTATCTGAACAGCAATTAAATAAATTCTTCATTTAAGTTAAATAATACAGCCCAACAAATTTTTAACCAAGAGACGAAAGTATACTTTTCTAAAGGTTTAAGTTGAGCTGCATCAAAAAAATATTGAGCTGGTATCAGGATTTCTTCATCACAATTTATCGAGATATCGTAATATTAGAAAAATATATTTTGGTCTGAACTTTTTTCAAATTTTGTTGTCGGCCTGTGTAATCTGTAAAAGATGCATTTTTTCTTTGGTTGGCAATAAAATCAGTTTCAGTTTTTAAAGAAGATTTTAATTTTATTTATAATTATTTTAAAAATAAATTTTTGCCTTAATGAGTAAAACATTGTTATCTCAAAAATAATTGATTGTTATTTGTTTCGAATTAACAATATTAATCGGAATCTAAAGAAGGAAAAACAAATTCGATTGAAAATTAAAAACATTCCGATATAAATATGAGTTAGAGCGTTACAAATCGTGCTGCTTTGTATCCTTTAAATGAGAAAATGATGCAAAGAATTCTATAGATCCAATAATTAGATGAGAATTACTGGAATTTTTAAAATTTAAAATTTTTCGTGAAATGAAAAATATTAATTATTTACATAAATATGTAGGCACTTATGTATGTGTGTATGTTTGTTAAATTGTATTTAGCTTTGAAGCATCATAAGCAATTTGTTAAATGAATTGATCTAAAAATTCAAGGTTATTCGTTCATATGTTTTAATGACTCAAAAGAAAATCTTAAAATGGGGATGATATAGTCCTCGGAGAATATGATATGAGCACTTGACTTCACACATTATTCATGTTGTCAACAAATGTTAGTGCAAATAACAGTATACGTAGTTAGATCATGTTGTATATATGCACTAGTCAGGGTAGTTTAAAGTTTATCCAAATATAACTTTTATAAAATATGATTTTGTATAAGTTGTTTGAAATATTTGTATGCCTAACTAAGAATAAGTAAACGAATTAAAAAATCGCTTCAACTAAAGATAAGTCACCATCAGAGCTTTTTTGTGAAACAAAGCAAGGTAAGTATTGTGGAGGATAACTAATAAGTACATTTTTACTTTCCATAAAAGTGAAGTTAGTATTTTTGTATACACTCCACTAAGCAGAGACCTTTTTCGTCAATCCAAAAAATTAAGCAAAAAAGAAAATACTAACGTAACGGGTAAATAACACAATTGCAGGAACATCTTTAGGTACCTTAACCCTGAAATTTAAACCTTTTGGCTAAATGTTTTTTCTCTTGATAAATATAAATATTTTTTGTTTGAAGAATTTTCTATTCCCTATACTTATACATAAGGGTGTCCCACGGACATAAGACTCATTTGGAAAAAAATTAAGAAACCTTTTATTTAGACCAATTTTACAGAGAACAAGATTTTCTATCGCTGATACGGAACTGAGAGTCCTTTCAAAAAATAGGTTTTTCGTATTCAGTACATTAATATGCAACGATTGATTTGCTTTTCTACATAAATTCTTCAAGAAACTGTTTCTCGGGACACTCTACTATACATATTTATGTATGTAAATATTTTAAATATTAACAAAACAAAACAAAATACATACATACTACAACATGTATGTATATCGTCGATGTACTAATAAATATTTACATGTAATGAATTTTTTGCATCTTTGTAGAAATGTATTTAACATAAACTTTATAATCGATATGTCGCAAATAGATGGTCAAGACCCAATTTATATACATATAAAATAAAATAATTTTTGCGAATAAGCTAACGAAAAATTTATATTTTAAGAGTTAGCTTAAGAAAGAAAATAAAAAAACATTTAGAGGACTATTCATCCTTATGGCTGTGTAGCGACGATATGTTATATATGTTTGGTCTAAAATGAAAATAAAATTCTTCACATTCGTATGTATGTCGTTATTGTAGATATGATGTAAACGAGGTGTATGATGGGTATAAATGTGTGCTACTTTCTTATTTTCTTTTATTTTTCGTTTATGCCGTCGTTGAAAGTATTATTTCTTTATTCTTTATCGTCGCTTTAATAAAAGTAACACATGTGCTAATGTTTCTATTTGAAATGTGTTACAAGTTCGTAACAAATTTTATTTTCAGTTGAGCGAATCCTTTTTAAAATAAAACTTTGTATTTTGTTTTCTATAATATGTATTTGTGCTACACTTTTAGGTTTTTCTAATTTTTCATTTATTTGAGTTGAGTTAAGTTTCGTTTTTATTTTTTTCTAATCTTGAAAAAATGTATATGTACATATATACATACATATTATTTGTTAACATTTTCTTGTTATGTTTTGTGTTTTTTCTTAAATAAAAACAAAAAGGGAAAAAACCTGCGAAAAAAAAAGAAACTAAGGCGTGTTCTTTTGTGAGGAATATTTATATAAGATATGAATGGTTGTGTGTGTGTGGTTGGATAAAAGAAAAAAAGGAATGTTAAGAAAAATGTTGTAGCTTAAGGCTATAAGTATGTAAAGAAGCATAACATTTCAAATTTAGTATAATTTTATTTGTGGGAGTAAGAGATCTGGAGACTCTTTGAAAAGTAGTGAGTGGGTATTTGTTAAAGTATACATAAATACATAAGAATATGTATGTATATATATTTTACATTTCTCATCTACTATTATGCAGTTGTATTTGTAATGGTTTATTAGCTTTCTTTTCATTTCATTGCTTTTGTTTGTTGATACATGTAGGTAATATCTGTAATTTGTTTTCCCCAGTTAATTCAATTTATTTTCACATACGACTGTGAAAAATGAAAATACTTCTTAAAAATTTATGTATTGGATGGTTGATATATACGTACACATTAACAAGCTATTTGTACAACTTCGAGTTGAAATAAAGAAGTAATTGTTGCAGCCTTTTCTTTATATTTAGTTATTTATGTAATAATTTGTTTCCACAATTTTTTTTTAATTTTATTTAAAAAAAATTAAAAAGTTTAATAGTTTTTTTGGAGACAAAGATGAAATAGCTATCTGAAA